AAGATTTTAAAAATTGTTTGATTTTACAAACCTAAGAGATCACACTAATGACAATGAAAAATCATGAATATAATATAACAGGCTTTGTTCTGCAGTGTGTGGTGTGCAGCCACATGCAGGACCAACACCAGTGTGTGCTGGAGTCTGTTTTCCAGTTGTGACTCTGTTTTGAGCAAACCAAGCATGACAGACTGGCTGGTGGAGCTTATTAAATCACTCTGTGGGTTATAGATCTACAGATTGAAGCGTCAAGGTAAACTGGTAAATGGCCTGTACTTGTGCAGTGCTTTATCAAGTCTGCTTTCCTTATGCAGTGAGGACCTGATTGGATAAGTTTCAAATTGTATCTGTGTATATGATCCTTGTCTGAGGGCTTATTTTTGGGAGACTAGTACATAGCCATACAGCCATACCTCTTGGCTCAGATTTGTTGTTTCTGCTGATACAAATAAAAAAAATAACTTCACTTGATCACTATGGGAAATTAAATAACATAACAATAATGGAAAAAGCCAGATAAGCTTCATTTTTGGGTTTTATCCTGTCGTGACATATGATCTTGACAAAAACGTAAAAAACAATTTTTTAAAGTTTTTCTTAATTACTGAAGTTCCCTGAACAGTATTTTCACATTCAAGAGACGTAATTCCACACAATTCTGCTGAACTTCCATCTGCAGAGCAAAGTAAGACCCTTCAGATTACAGAGTTGACCTTTGCTGACACAGCAGAACCTATGCAGCCTGACCGACCATCACAATAATAACATATGTACTACAGCTCCCAGCAGACCTCATTAAGGCACGCTCTGCTGATGGGGGAACAGAGTGGTGTCCTAGCTTTCTACACTGGCCTACATCGCTGCCTCTCAGGCTAGCAGGGGCAGAAGAACAGCAACCAGAATAAAGGACCATTGTCCACCTCCTGCCCACTCCTACTCACTGTCTCTGTTCATCTTTCAAACGCTGACCCTGCCAGAACAAGGCCTGTGCCAAAATCAACTGGGCCTGGGAATGTCGAAGCTGGTTTCAACATTTCGTTTAAGAGTTGTAGTTCTGAGCGCAGATAAAAAGAAAAGCAACAAGATTTCACAAACATCTAAAAGTATTACGTCTGACCTGAAAGATAAGATGCAATGAAATCAAAAACCTCACACTACTACTGCAAAAAGGCATTTTTTTTTTCAAATATATTCCACTCCAGTCACTATATTTAGGGACTTTGAGCAAAGTTCCAGCAAGTGGAACTCTAATTCTTACCCTTTTGACATTATTTTTCACAGAAATATAAATTTTTGTACAGAAAAGTTCCAAAATCACACATCTAGTTTTACTCTTACTCAAGTGAGAGTAAAACAGTATTTGGTGAAAAGTCTACTACAGAAAAGAGAAACTGATCAACCGATCGATCATTTAATGTTTAAAAATTTCATGATCAGACGGACCAAAATATAAAGTTAGTGGACATTTTGGTATTTTAAAGACAAAAATTACCATAATTCAAAAAAGTAACAGAAAAAAATAAAATCAGACAAAACAAAAATTTTCCAAATCAGTTTTTTTTTTTATAAAAAACATCCAAAACTTTAACAAAAACTGCAGGTGTGTTTCTGTGTCTAGCAAATTTTGGGTTAAAATGTGTTTTTTCTTCATTCAGTGGGTAGAAAATCCAAAAATTTAGTGATACTTCATAATAAAATTACTCAAGACAAAGTAAAAAATGCAGCAATAAAAATACTCCTAAAACTAAATTTTTCAAAAAGATTACTCAGAAAAATGTAACTGAGTTTATGTAACTAGTTGCTGTCCAACTCTGCTCATGGACAACCCGTGTTGAATGAAAGGATCGTCCATTTGGATTTCCACACAGGCACAGAAACCATGGCAACCGGCATAACCTCACAGTGTCAGAAAGCTGCAGAGTGCTTGGTCAACGCTGGTCCTTCTCCAGTATCTGTAATCAGGAATCAGATCTCTGCTCCCATCACACTTCACTTCCTCAGCTCTGACGCCATTAAAGGCGCTTAAGATCGAACCCAACAGTCAGTGTTGTGCAAACACAGAATAAATTAAGTAATATACTCAACAAGATTATGATTCTTCATTTCAATCTGGAGGATTGGATTAGGAAAATACTAGTAATTTTTCGGTCAGGCAGAAATTATAAATACTAAAATTGATGGAGTAAACGTCCTCAGTGGGATTGAAGTACAGCGATGTGTGTGTGCCTGATAATGTTGTGAGTGTACTGTAATAGTTAGGTTCTGGAAAAATGTCTGAGTTAGGCATAAATGCAGTTAGTAAATAGGCAAAGTCTTCAGAATGATAGAAATACAAGTGTGTGTGAGAGAGACAGGTTTTTATATCCTTGTGGGGACCTATTTCTGTGTGGGGTTGTGGGGGCCACTGCACCCTGTGGGGACATTTTCTTTGTCCCCAGGAGGGAAAATGCTGGTTTTGGGTTATGGGCGGTTTGTGACATTTAGGGTTAGAATTAAGGATAGGCTGTAGAAAATGAATGGAAGTCAATGAAAAGTCCCCACAAGTCACAAAGCCGTGACTATGTTGTGTGTCTCCATGGAGTGGAGAGAGTCATCTATTAACTTGGTCTTAAATAGCATACGACAGACCTTCTTCTAGGAAAACCAAGGGATCAAATCTACTCAGACTTTTCAGAAAAGATTTCTCAAACTTTTGTGAATTAGAAATCCAAATTCTCACTGAAATCTGCCAGCGTACTGTGTGGAAAAGCACTTTTCAAAAAGATTGATAATATTTTTGGTGTTTTGTGTGAAACAAAGACATCATAAGTACACTTATTTGAGTAGGGAAGATGATAGGAAATGTTCTTTACTATGTTTAAAGAAGAAGATTTTTAAAACCAAGTATTTCTTTACGAACTTAAGACAAATTGGTGTGACTACAGCTAAAGCTAGATATCTACAAGACACGTGCTTGTTTTTTCTCATTGTCTGAAGTTAAGTCAGACCAAACTTTCCGTGTTTAGGTCAGTTATAATTGTACAAACAATTTCTATCTGCTTAAGGCCAGAAAACCTGGTGAATTGCAGACAAATGTGTTTGTACCTCTTTATTCAGCGTATGTAAATACCTGGTTTCAGCTTCAGATACAATTTGGCCATTTATCATTAGAGATTAAAGTTTGATTAGGGATGAGAGACCTTAGACTGGACTTGGACTTGGCCATAGGTCAGAGACAGGATCCAGCAGAGAGGATACCAAACATATTCAGTCTGAGCTTATCCTTGCTGGGGTTTTGTTGTTTTTTTACTGCATTTGTAGTCACAGACAGGTTAATGATTGATTGACAGACTGATATCAACCCAACTGTCGTCATCATCTGTCTGCCTCTGTTGGTTTTGTCTGTTGCTTAAAGATAAACAGTGAGACCACCAGGGCTGCAGAGACCTTCAGGAACATCGTCTGACCGCAGTCAGACGTCATCAGGTCAGGTCAGTGGCATTGGTTTCGTTGATGAGAGCTGCTTGTGTCTAACTGGATTATGGGACACCGTAACATTTTATGTCCACTTTATTTCTCAGATCATAAATGAGACTGGAAGGTCATTGTAGTCCTTTTTTATTTTTGGTACTTACACTTTCAAAGCACCTTTTTTATAAGGGATACATTGATTTATCTGCAAAACGATCTGTCAGCTGGATGATTTATCCGTGCTGATTTCCTTAAATCTGTGATTGACCGATATTTACATGTGAAGGCAAGCTTATCTACCTCAGCAAAGGTCTAAAAATCAGCCATATCAAAGTTTGAACATCAGATTGGCCCACCAGGTCATGTCTGCACATTTGCAGTAAACAATAGTCACACCACTGTTGCCAGCTCTGTGACTTTCTTGCTGTATGTAGGACAAAAAGAAAAATTGGTATTGGATAAAATCAGAATCAGCTGGTTAGGCTTTTAAAAAGATTGATCAGCCACAAATCTGTAATCGGTGCACCCGTTTTATGCCTTTTGCAAGACATCCAAGCCAGATATGAGAGCAAAGTGAGATCCGGGCTTCAGGACAAGACTTGATTTTGGTAAACATTAACGTAAAGCAGGCAACTGGTATTCTGTAATCTAAATTTCAGCTGAGAGATTAATTAGGATACTTGTTGTTTAGGGCAAGGCTTAACCAATCCATTTATAGCTGACCACAAATCGTAATTGGAGAAAAGCAGTTTCTCTCAGTTCTGGATGAATTGTCTGAAGCTGTCAGTTGGGAGGCGTTTCAGGACAACATCCTGTTGGAAAACATATGATTGTCCTGTTCAGTGCAAACCGAATGAGATGACAAAGTTACAGCAAAGTGGGGTAAAAGGGACTCTTGGTATATGTCACTTGAAATTTTAATCATTGACTATAGCACCTTACTAGTTAAAGGCATTTCTAGATCATCATAAAACCATCTTCATGTATAGCATCACGCCAATAGTGGAGAAGAGTGAAATGAGCTATCTATGTTAAACACATAAAAACACTAAATAGGGGAAATTTTCTTAGATCACACCATTACAGATTTCACATCTGCTGTGGGGGAGAAGATGTAGCATAACAGAGAGCGAGGAGGCGGTTGTGAGTACCACATACACTAGCTAGATTGACAGCACTGGCTCTGATTGGTTGTTTTAGACTGGGAGTGGGCCAGAATTACATAGCTTTTTGACTAAGCCAATAGCTAATTGGATTTTAGCTGAAATGTTGATATTTGTTATATTTGAGTTTAAGAATGATCAACAATGATCTCTGAATGACATACAATCACCACGTCAGTAAATTTGAACTTTTTACATTTTTTTTAAAGATAAAAACATGATGATCCGCTGGCGGCACGCTCTGGCGCCCCCTAACGATGGGCATAGCTGGAGGTTGAGTCACAGCAGAAAGAACAATTTTTGTTTGTGAAGACCTGGACATAAAAACATGAACTATTGAATACAAAAAAAAAAAAAACCTTGACCCCCCAAAAAGAATGACAAAGGTCTCTGGAAAGGTTTTATTTGTAGATGAATCATAAAGAGAACAAAGGAAAAAATATACATATATATCCATATGTACTAATTTATGTACAGTCAACTTTACAGACAACTAGAAATGTTTACAGCCGTTGATAAAGAGGAGGAGGATGTGCTGTCGGAGCAGTCTCTGTGGTGTTGCACTGATGCAACGATGGACAAGTCTTGCATATGTACATACATTCATAGGATGCAAATGCCTCTCTGTTCACACAAGCATTACAAATTCAATAACTGAATCAATGGAATGATGTACCATATTGTATATCTGCTGATATTACGTCACAGCCCTTAATATTTACAGGCAGTGAGGAGGGACTCCATGACAGAAACGTTGTCACTGAATTTACCTACAAGTTCACTCTGCTGGCAGCTCGGTAGGCAGGTGTGAACTTCAGCGTTTGTAACGATAAAACATTCTTTGCTAGCTGAGTTGCAAGGCTATCGTGGTGTTTGCAGTTAACACAAGGTAGAACTGAGGCAGGTCTTTGTCATTTGTAAAATAGCTCACATATTGAGGCATACAGTCATATTGAAATGTTCGAAATAGACACTAAGATCTTTATCATACAAAAGGTGATAGCTGTCCATTGGAGCTACATCTAATTATCAAGACCTCTACCTCCTTGGTTATTTTGTGAGTCAGACTGCCTGGGCTTTTTTTTTTTTTTTTTTTGTAAGATGTCATTTTAAGACTACATCTGCATCTACATGTGAGATATACGGAAGGCTGTACAGGCTCTAACTACTAATGATGGTCTTATATTTCATTCTGAAACTTATTTTTATTTGTGCAGATACATGACAACATGTCCACCTCTGATTCTTAATGTCAGAGTGGGGACAAAAACGAATGTCTGGCCAAAACTGAAAGGAAACACAAACTTTCTGAGCCAGATTTTGCTCTCCAACAGAAATCTGTTGTAAGAATTGAACTTTGACATATACTGAAAACAATCATGTACTGAGCTAAAGTTTCTTGATTTGCTTTGGGATACAAAGATTCTGCCAGAGAGGGAATGTCTAAATCAGCTCAGAAAAAAACAGACGTCAGACTAGACATGACTTTTAGCCACATGATCCCAGTGGAATTTGGTTTCTGGGCCTTCAGAGGGAGTTTACCATTTGAATCTACCACGGGATGATGTTAGAGTTGCGCGTGACGTCACGCTGTCCAGACCTCGGCCCGCTACGCCGTGACGGACGTCAAAACAACCTAAACGTTTCTGTAAAGCATGTCAAAAAGCAGACATCTGTAATCTATTATCGCTGTTATTTGGTTGATTTCACTTTAAAAATGGTCAAAGGATGCTGCGCACTTGGCTGTATAAACAAACAGATCAGGATAGAAACCAAACTTGTCATTTTATTGTACAACTATGAATGAGGAACGATGCGGTGGCGATGGACATCAGCGCTCGGTGTAACCGTGGATTTGCAGCAAACACTTTTTGCAAGATAAGAAGATTAACCTTCATATACTTTACAAGTAAGTATGCTTACAAAAAAATCAAACATAGGATTATGGAGAAGATACATGTCTAACCATTAGTAACCATGGAGAAAATGCTTCGTCATCATGTAGCCTAGCATGTGTGGAAAACTTGGGGCTTCTTATGGTGGGTCTGACCGTCCAATCAGAGACCGGAAAACTTCTGACGTCACTGTGAGCTTTCTATATGGCGAATCTGAAAGTTGAACTGTTTGTGAGGTTGATTAGACTGACATTGGCATCACATAGACGTAAATCTGATTGGGTGACACATCAAGAATCCACTCAGACATGTGCAGGAAGCAGTGGAGCCAAGAGAATAGTTACAGGTATTGGATGTGTTTACACCCAGTCCTTAGTATTGGAAGTAAATCAGTGACATTCAATTGAAAATATAATTTAGGTCGTAGGGATCCAGAAGGTGTTAGGGCCTGCAGTGAAGGCCTCGCAGGCCCTGCTGGCATCGTCCGGACTAAATGAAAACATGCTTACCGTATCTTCTGCTGACAGAGCAGAGAGAACAAATATCAGTGCAGACACAGCTGTTCCAGAGAAGCTAAGCAACGGCGGCTTGTTTCAAACTAGTGGAGGGGTTAGTGGAGCTCGACTGGCCGTCCCTGGGTTTCCAGTTGATTACAGCAAATTCCAGACAGCTCCGACATAGAGCAAGGTTTTGAGGCTCAAGTACGCACACGTCCTTACAATGCTTCTCTGGCACATCACTGAGGAGCTGATCATCCCCTGCGATCCCTGGAAGTACATGGAAGAGTTAGTTGGCCGAGCGAACTGTCCGGCCGCTTCGTGGGAAGCGGTGGACTTTGATGTGTTTTGACAGGTGATCACTGCGGGCAAACTTCTTCTCACACACGGGGCATTGGTAGGGTTTGACACCCGAATGGGATCTCCTGTGACGGGACAGCTCATCAGACCGAGAAAACCTGGAAGGAGGGAGGAGAACATGAAATGTGAGGATGAATGGAGAAGGGCTGGTTAGGCCGGAAACCACAAACTATTTTCTTATCGACTAAACTGATCAGTTTTCCAGGCGTTTACTGACAGGATTAACAGTAAGAACGTGAACACCCAATCTCTACTGATGAGAATGAAACTGTTTTTTTTTTTTTGTATAATCAGTGAATAATCAGCAATTGATGATTTAGCTCATTTAGAAAAGTGTGTAAAAGTCTCCTGTCCTCCAGATATCTGGTTATCTTTGGCAGTTTAATAACTTTGACAGTTAGCTTCACTTCTTCTGCTCATTATGTTGAGACTCTTATTTAGGAAGAGCGATCTTTCCTGCCAACAGCCATCACTATCTACAATGACTCTGAAGAATTTGAGTTCTTGTGGGTCACAACCACATTCAGCTTCCCTGTGGAATCACTAAGGTGTTTTTGAGTTTGAATTTGAGTCAGGAAGTAGTTCTGACAGGATGGTTCCAGTCAGGCGGGATGAAACCAGATCTTCCTTTTTACTCTCAAGTAACGTCTTGCTTGTCCAGCGTCCTCGCCAAGCCGAGCAGATTCAACCACATAATCATCAGCCGCGAGCCGAAGCGTTTCACGCCAGGCTGTAACTCACCGGCCTGCAGCTCGGTTAGGCCAGCGTGGAATCCCAGCTGGACTCGGAGGAGAGGAAAACACCGGTCGGCTGAAGCGGCGTGAACCTCAGCTGCAGGCCCTCCTCCCAGCAAAACAAGATGTCTGCCGGTCACTGCACACAGCTGGACTCTGCAGCCCAGATGTTCCCTAGCTGAACGCGCGAGACACAAGACCCGCACGGCGATGTTGTCGTGTGACCGAGCGGCCGTGTTCCAGTTGTTTACATCACATGTAAACACTTTAAGATGCAGATACAAAAATACCAAAAGATCCACTTCAGTCTTAGAGACACATATTTTGAAAGGTCAGTGGGGTTCTGTTGAGAGGGAAGTCACGAGAAAACCTCATTAAAAGATTTTCCCTGAGCTACGTGGGAAACCGTTACCCAACTACTAAAGAACAGCAGGCTTTGTCTTCTAGAAAGTGTATCCATCTGTGATACACACCTATACACACCTGCCTGCCGCCATCACAATCCTCAATAACTCTTTGAAGAATCTGAATTAAATGCTTTCATACAACATTTCATTTCCATTTGGGATCAATAAAGTATTTTTGAATTTGAATGTACAAACAACTCCACACAGAAATGTCAAACAAGTTCAACTGCTGTCAAGACGGATTTAGATGCCTGTTTACATGGAGGGCTGTTGTTATTATTATTATTATTATTATAGCTACACTATCAGACATGTTAGCAGAGTGATTTACCACAAACATTCACTGGTCAGAAAGCATTTTTTGGCTTTCTATGAATAAAGCAGACTTGCCTCATAATGCTGCTGTGTTCACAGGAGCTGCTGCGAGTTGCAACCACTTTTATTTAAAAAGATAACAGATAAAAAGTCACAATCTCAACTAGATCACTTATGTCAAACATATTCAGAAGCTGCACATACAGTCATCTGGTAACTGGACTCTCAAGCTGTCCTGCATTTTGTCATTTATTCCCATACATGGTGGCTCTCAAAAACTATTTTCAATCTGCCAGTTAAATGGCAGAATAAAAAGCCTTAACATTTTTCAGAATCTCCACAGAGAAAGAAAAAAACTGTGAATTATTGCTTCCACACAGGTGACAGTTTTGCTTCATATTTGACCTTTTTAGACGACTACATTTAAGAATGGAACAGGATCTATTACACGCTTCTGCCTTTATGGTAAAGATTGTACACAAAAACATTTGATTATAAAAATAAAACTTGTTGGAGAGGAAGAGGGAGCATAATCTCACCTTGGTGAGGTGATGAAAATGGATAGAATAGATCTCTGCATAGATATCTGTGTTTGAGGGGCCCAGTGGCCCTCAGGTCACCATCTGGCTAACATTAGACTGTGAAGGAACTCAAACCAAAGGACGACCACATTTAATCTGAACCTGTAAGGTTCATCCTGTCATGAGGCTGAATTCAGAGTGACTCTTAACACACTCCCCTCTGGTCCCTTTCTATTCTCATTTGTTATTGTGGGTGAAAATCTCTCAGCAAGGAGGGAGTTTGTTCTCTGGTTTCTTCCCATCATGTTTACTTAAATAACCTGACTGGCCATCAGTGTGTTAACCTGCCTCACAACCACAGACTGCTGCAGATGGACACCAACAACACCACCAGCACCACCAACACCAGCACCACCAACACCAACACCATCACCACCATCACTAGCATCACCAACACCAACACCATCACCACCAACACCATCACCACCACCACCAACACCATCACCACCAACACCATCACCACCACCACCAACACCATCACCACCAACACCATCACCATCACCACCAACACCATCACCACCACCACCAACACCAACACCATCACCACCAACACCATCACCACCACCACCAACACCATCACCAACACCATCACCACCAACACCATCACCACCAACACCAACACCATCACCACCAACACCATCACCACCAACACCATCACCAACACCAACACCATCACCACCAACACCAACACCACCAACACCAACACCATCACCACCAACACCATCACCATCACCACCAACACCATCACCAACACCATCACCACCAACACCAACACCACCAACACCAACACCATCACCACCAACACCATCACCACCAACACCATCACCATCACCACCAACACCATCACCATCACCACCAACACCAACACCATCACCACCAACACCATCACCACCACCACCAACACCATCACCACCAACACCATCACCACCACCACCAACACCATCACCAACACCATCACCACCAACACCATCACCACCAACACCAACACCATCACCACCAACACCATCACCAACACCATCACCACCAACACCATCACCACCAACACCATCACCACCACCACCAACACCATCACCACCAACACCATCACCACCACCACCAACACCATCACCACCAACACCATCACCACCAACACCATCACCACCACCACCAACACCATCACCACCAACACCATCACCACCACCACCAACACATCACCAGCACCACCAACACCATCACTAGCACCACCAACACCATCATAGAAACATAATCTTTGCATCTTAAAACATAAACTTAGTATAATTTTCTAACAATGACTCCTGTTGAAAATAAAATGTAGAACATAATTTAGTCTCTATTTAATGGTGACCGCTGCATCTAATCTGGATTAGATGCAGCAGTGGTTTTGCAGTGAGCTGATGATGTACTGGGTTGACACGGGCTGTTTGGGTCACGGTACCGATCCGATCTAGAACGAGAAGATATCTGGCTCCATGCAGGCCTGCAGCTGCTCTGCAGGGTCTCGTGTTTGACTCACACAGTGTTTGACAAGTAAGCATTCAATTTTAGTGACGTCATCAAAATGGCACGTGAATCCGAAAGGAAAATGACCCGCTGAACTGGACGATCAGACAAAGACCACGACTACTGTACTGGCATGACGGTCATGATGCCCACCATCACCGTTTACAGTACGAAGCTGAGAGGCGTTTTGCTTCCTGTGGCCCCCTCTCCATCCCCCCTTCAGTCTGTTGCTCGATTCTTCCCGTCTTTCATGCTGTGAGGCGGCTTGGACGTTCCTGCCCACAGTCATGGTAACTATTCAGTGCTTATTCTTTGTTGGGTCAACAACCTCACTCTTGCTCCCTTCAAGTGACTGCATGCAAACCGAGGTAGGGGCTTTTTTTCTGTTTTGTCTGCAGGTTGTTAAGAAAACCACCGTCTTCCTTACAGTACACTTCTTTATTTAATACTATAGGCTAGTCCTGTATTATAGTCAGAAGTGGGCAGAGTACACAAACGTCTCACTCAAGCAAGCGAAGCGATTTTTCATAATCAAATTGCTCAAGTAAAAGAGTGCAGTGTAGTACAAATACTCCTAAAAGTATTTTTCTTCTAAAATATTACTCAAGTAAATATAACCAGTTACTACCCAACTCTTGTCGTAGTACTATATTTTAGTAGTACAATGTACCGCATTATAGTAACCTCTAACCTTATAGTAACCTAACCTTTAATCTCAGCGGTAAAAAAAACACAAAAAAAAACTATTTTCCTTATGGAGCCCAATAAGAAGCAGTAGGTCCTCACAACATTTTTGGAAAGATGGGCCTTGGTAGATGAGACACACACACACACACACACACACACACACACACACACACACACACACACACACACACACACACACACACACACCCACACACACACACACCCTGCCTGTTGTAAACAGACAGAGGTCCTTTTGTTTGCTAGAACACAGTTCCTGGATTAAACAGAGCAAACGTGTGCAGCTCTCCTCATCCTGTTAGAACATACGCTGCTCTCCAACTACAAACCATGAGCAGCAGCTGACTGAGAGGTCAGAGGCAACACAGGACCTTCAGGATGAATTGCTGTCACCCTGCAAGACGCGGCATCCAGAAGGTAGACTGCATAGCATCTAATATGGCCATTTTGATGCAGCCGGTCTTTGTTTGTGGGCTCCAACTTTTCAGGAACTGGAAACTTGGCGTGAGCAACAAGTACAAGAAACGACCCCAAAAATAATTCATCCAATAATAAATAAATACCAGTGATAAAAGGAAATAATTAAATCTTTGCATGGACTCAGAAATTTGTTCAAATGAATGCAGTAGCTCTACATGTGGAACAGTTGATGGAGCTAAACAGGCTAAGAAATGTGTTAGCAGGAGAATGTGAATATTCAGTGCATTTTCCATTTGGGCTTTTAGTGCATCTTACTGCAAAGTTCTATAAGTGGACTGAATTTATAAACTGATCTTCCAGTTATACTCAAAGAGCTTTATACCAAACAAACCAATAAATCGGTTCATTGCTTTTTCTCACCACATTCTACAAAAACCTGGTGGGGAAAACATATTAGTGTCATTGGGGAGAGAAAAAAAAGCCTCTCTGTCCTACCATAACAAATGTAAACCTGTAGAATCTGTTAAACATTACTGGGACTTTAACTAGAAATGTTGGTCACCAGAGATGGGCAGTAACTAGTTACATTCACTCAATTACATTTACTTGAGTAACTATTTTTGAAAAGGAAAAAGGAAAGAGTATTTTTATTGTGCTGCTCTATTTGAGTAATTTTACTAGGAAGTATCAATACTTTTATTGGAGTAATATTTCTGGATACTCAACCCACTGAATGAAGAACAAACATGTTTTTACCAGAAAATCTACCAGACACAGACGTACAGCTGCAGTTTTTCTTAAAGTTTCAGAAGATTTTTTATTGAAAGACACCGATTTGGAAAAAAAAAATATTTTACTTGATTTTACTACTTTTGCTGCTTACATGAATTATCGTCACTTTGGTCCTTAAAATACCAAAACTTCCACTTAGCTTCATATTTTGCCCCATCTGATGATGTCACTTTTAAACATTAAATTATCAATAACGTTACTGATCGGTTACTCTGCACTTCAGCAGATTTTTTATTTATTTATTTTTTTAACCAAATACGTTTTTCCTGGAGTCATTTCTTGGACGGCTACATTTTACTTTTACTCGAGTTAAAATATGTTGAAGTTGAGCCACTTTTACTTCAGTACCATTTTGATGTCCTCTGGCCACGGCAACATGACTCTCTAGACCCGAAAGCTTCAATAAATATGTGGGCTGAGCTGGAGAGCAGACGGCATCAGGATTCCGATCGTCATGTGGAGCTTCGACCTTGTGAAATACCGAGCGCCGTCCCGTCGGCTGAGGGAGGACACACAGACGGCCAGCAGACCGGCTCCAGCAATTGCACCACCACTGGTTTAGTAAGAACATGCAGTTTTCACCTACTGAAGAAAGTTACTCAGATTAAAGGTTGGACTTTAATGAATGTATATGTCTCAGCGATGTGTGTGTGTGTGTGGGTGTGTGTGTGTGTGTGTGTGTGTGTGTGTGTGTGTGTGTGTGTGTGTGTGTGTGTGTGTGTGGTGTGTGTGTGTGTGTGTGTGTGTGTGTGTGTGTGTGTATCTGGGGTGTTTTAGGATTACAGATGAACCACCACAATACTCTCCCCCCTCTCAGCTCCGACAAACTTGATAACAGCGACGCAGAGACGCCGTTTCTAAGTTTACGATTACAACTTCCTCCACACTCATAAAACGGGAGGACGTCCTTCTGAATCGGCAAACTTTGCAAGTAGAGGCAGAGGACCCAAAAACTTTATTCAAGAAAGAGTAGCACGACTTCAACATATTTTTACTCCAGTAAAAGTACAAAGGAGCCAAGTAAGAGTGAAAAAGTATTTAGTGAAAAGTCTACTAAAGTACTGAGTCACTGATCAAATGATCAGTCACTTATTATTTAAATGTTCTATCAATCAGTGGGTTGAGAATCCAGAAATTTCACTCAAGTAAGAGAAGAGATACTTCAAAACAAAATTACTCAAAAGTGCAGTAAAAATATTCTTAAAGGTAATTTTTTTCAAAAGTTACTGACTAGTTTCTATCCATTTCTGTCTCAGGGTGCAGGCTGTTCTAAACCCTTCTGCACCAAGGAGCCTGTTTTACTGCTTCACTCAGTGAATCACTCTGTGTGACCAGCAGAAAGGTAACTTATTACATAAACATCAACAGCCCACCCGGTCTCGGTGCCACCCGGTCCCGGTGCCACCCACCTCCATCCGCAGCCCTGCCAGTTGCAGGCGAACGGCTTTTCCCCGGTGTGTCTCCTCAGGTGGGCCTTCAGGTGGCTGCTCTTTGTGTACATCTTGTTGCAGCCAGAAAAAGAGCACTTGTGCATTTTAATGAGATCCGCCACGGGATTCTTCTGGAACCTTTGACCTCCGATGAGAATGGCCGACGCCTGGCTGGCAGCGCTCTCCCCCAGACCGAGGGGCTTGGCTGCAATGGGGACTGGTGCAATCCGTACGAACTTGGAGACAGTGAGGCTGGGGGATGGCACGATGTGGGGCACCAGGGCAAAAGTCTGTCCCTGGATGTTGACCAACAGCTGTGCAATTTTGATGTCTGAGACGGGGCCGGGCTGTGAGGGCTGGGCTGCAGGAGTAACCGAGGTCAGCGTGGGCTCCTGCTTCACCCGCACGGGCTGAATCTGGAGGACGACGGGCGTCCCGCTGCTGCTCGTGGACCTGTCTTCTAATGACGGTTTGTTGGTTGAGGTTTTTTTGGCCCCTGCGACAGCTTCGTGCATTGGATTGGTCGATGATGCTTTGCTTTCGGGCAAGGCCGCCGTGGCTGGACCAGAGGTGCCAGTGGTGGGGACAGTTTGGTCTGAATGTTTGGCCTCTGGCTCCAACTTGAGCTCAGAAGTGGACGCCCTGCGACACTCCAGACCCCCATCTAAACCTAAAGTCTCCTCTGCTCCAACGTCAAACCCTTCCTGCTTCACCGTCACCATCTCCATATTCTCCTCAAGAAATTCTTCAATCTCCTCCAGTGTCGGATGGAACGACTCTAAAAGCTGTTCTGCTGTCTCCACATTGGACCAAGTGAGAAAGTTAAAGTCTTCCTCCTCCACCGGCTCGGTTTTGGACGGCTCGTCTCCCCTCGAGTCCCACTGGAAGGCGTTCAGTGGCTCGGGTGCGGCAGAAACTCCGCCGGCACTTCCTAAGGAGGCCTGAGACAACAGGTGGTCCAGGATGCTGTCCTGGCTTTCAGCGCTGGAGCTGCTTCCACAGCTGGAGCTGAGCTCCAGCGAATCTGGGCTGGAGCAGGAGCGAGGGCTGGAGCAGGAGCGAGGGCTGGAGAGCGCGCTCACATCGTCGTCTGAAAACGGTGACGGGATCACCTGGTAGGAGCCGAGGTCTGACACCATGTCTAGTGGGCTGTAGGCTCGCAGAGAACAGCGGAGTGGAAGGGAAGTCTCTCCGTTTGCCGGAGAGTTATCCACCATCCCTGGCCAAACTGCTTCCTCTGGCTGGATTCTGCAGTCTGTGTTTACACAGATCAGAGAGCTTGTCCTTGGCCGTGGAGATGGGTAGACCAAATAAACTAAAGTAACCAAGGTCACCGTCCTCACTCCGGTGAGAGCCTCAAAGCTGTACAGGAAACAATCCAGAGGTGTCCAGGCTGGACGTCGGATTTCTGCAAGGACAAAAAAGCAACATCAAGAAAATGTAACTAAAAACAACCCACCTCCTCAACATTTCATTATTTACATTTCTGAGAAACAGCTGAGTGGACGGTCTTCTCTGATTCCCATTTTGATCGATATTTATCAGATGATCAGGAATTTCCTCCATAGGTTTTTGTCCAATCTTCAAAAATCACTCAGTCAACATTAAGTTACTGCTTGCCACCAGCATCTCTGGTATTTTTTGTTTAATTCAGATGTTAGATTATCTGTGTACATAACACTTAAATCAGCTGATTGTTGAGCATCCAATATCAAGTGGATTTTGGCTGCCACTTCGATCCTGTCGTGGAACGCATCTGCAGAGTTGTACATTTTCTCCAGTCAATCAATTTTTATTTTTTATTATGTTCAAGGTGACATAAAGAATCACATATTCTTCAAGGTATAATGAAGCTTTTCAATAGGAATACAGTTTAATAGGTTGATAGGTTACACTCAGAGAGGACTGATTCTGGACCGGGCTGTGAAGAGCAGCAGTGATGGCGTGTGGCCGGATCATATTCCTATTAATGTCCTACAGTAGGCCTCAGAAATAGGCTGCTTTCCTGGAACGTGGGGCCTCGGCCTCCAGTCCCTCCCCTCCTGTTTCTCTCCGTGCTTCCTTTCCAGGGGCCCCTGCATACTCAGAGTGACCGAAGGTAAACCCGGGCGACAGGCAGACGGGGGGTGGGGGGAGGGAGGGGGGAGGAAGCAAACAGGACGCCTGGGGGCGACAGAGAGCAGCTGTGCAGGATCACCTGCTCCGCTTGTTTACAGGACGGAGCAACGGAGCAGTCTGTCATGTTTGAACTACAATCTATGAAGAACAGTCTGAACTCTTATCATTATTATTATTATTATTATTATTAGTTCACAGTGAACCCAAATATAACAGTTTATTGAAAATAATAAAGAAGAAGAAATCTTGTATTTGTTCATTTTATTTTTTTACATAAAGCTATTTTTTTAAAATCTAAATCGGATGCGTCCAGAGATTTGCGGTGCATCATGTAGTTTGCAGTTTGGTCCAGAATCAGAACCCTGCTCTCCTCTCCTCTCCTCTCCTCTCCTCTCCTCCTTCACGTCAACATGTTTTCATCCAGGCAGCAGCAGCAGCAGCTTCATGGCACCGAGAGGAAATCTCTCCCCTCACCAAGTTGGATCGGGTCTTACCGTGGTCAGGGTTCGGGTCCCGGTCCGGGGAGGCTCCGTTTCATCCCTCTGGCTCGGTTCGTCCGCTCGGGTTTCACCAGTCCGCGCAGCGCTGCGGTCCGACCGTCCGCTCTGGTCCCACGGAGTTCTACTATGTGTCCGTCACATGACTGTAGTGGAAACCGAGAGGCTCCCACTGAAGGCTCGTCCCCGCTCCGCGGATCCATTGGCCGCCAGAGGAGGGGACGCGGAGAGGGAGGGCGGGCCGTGAGCCGCTTCCTGCTGCATGGGCTGACATGTGATCAGCAGCGGGCTGCGCTGCGCTGCGCTGACTTACTGCCTGGAAAATGAGTCCAGAAGGTCGAGCTGCAGAAGTGGGTCGGCTGCAGAGAGGCCGTGGAAACGGAACACGCCTCCATCCCTGTTGCTACCTGAGTGGAACAGAAAGAGCTGCTGCTGGAGCCAGTACTTGAAATGAACCATGGATTCATAAAAATGACAATAAAAAAATAAATCTTCTTTAAGGTCTCTGGTGCTCAAGGCACACTGCCCTGAATGATTTAGGTGATTTCAATTGACAAGTGGGTTAGGGTTGATCAGGTGGGTTAGGGTTGATCAGGTGTAGTGCAGCAGGGAAACATCAAAAACAGGAGGGGCAGCGTGGTGACCAGGACCAGGGTGGGGAAACACTGACCAGGAGGAATGGAGACCCAAACGGAGGTACTGACCCCCAGGAAACTGGAGGTGGAGATGTTTAGGCCAAGCAGTAACATTTTCCCATGCACCTCCTGTGACCACAACCAGGAAGAACCTAAACAAGTCTTGTGCCCAGAAGTCTCTCCCTAAACTCCAGTTCCTCCATCTTCCCTGCTTAACCAAAGGAGGAAATGGTTGGGGAAAGATTTCTGGGCACAAGACTTGTTTTGGTTGAACGTATTTGTCTTTGGGTTCCAGACTCTACTGGAAACACTACTCTGGCTCCGAGACTCAGAGCTCCTTATGCAACCGGTCTCTATTAGGTTTCCCAGTTTTCCAGAAGATCCATGACTCGGATCAGTCCCGGTGGGGATCGATGTGACGCCCCCAATTTGTTGGGTGGGGTATTAATGAGCATCACCCACAGAAGACTGTCCAGTGCATAAGAGATGTCAGCGACAAATACAATCTGTATGGATGCTTTTCAACTGGAACAGGGAAGCTGGTTACAATTGGTGGAAATGGAAATTGACCATAGTTCAGAACAACCTGGAAGAAACCCAGTAGTTCAGACAGAAGTACTGTAACAAATAAATGAGGCATCAGAAGTTCCAGAAATCCATACATTTTGCTGATATGTTACTCAGCCCCATGTTTAGTCTTTGGTTTTTGTTTAATGCAAACCCCAATCTTGATCTGGGATACAGAGGAACAGACTAGAGACTGACTGGACCTGGTAGAACCACTGCTGAGTGAGGAGGACAAAGTGCTCAGAACGATGCCAGACTGGGAGAACGATGCCAGACTGGGAGAAGGTTCCAGAAGCTGCTCACTGGTTTAACCACAGGGGTTTAGAAGCAGCAGAAAGGACAAACTGTGAGAAAGAACATTTGTTAGCTTTTGTGTAACGGTTTAGACAAAGGCCTTTTGATTAAGCGCAACCAAATGACTGAGTTCTGTATCCGTTTGTCTGTGAACAACTGATGTAAAATCATCGCATTTGACGTCAATTGGCACCAAAAAAATACAAGAAATATAAAAATATAAAATAAGGTGATTAAGTAAAGAGCAACGAGTTTATAGAGTCGTGTGCCATCTGGTTAATCAGTACAGAACATTACAAATAAAATTACTGTTCGCCCCAAAAGTCTATCCTCAAATGAATAGAGGTCAGAACACGGCTTGATTGTGCTTTGATTCTTTAATCCATCTGGGTTTGGCTCAGCCACTCTGTAAACCCAGTCATATTAATAAATAAAAAACTAAGTTATTCCAAGAAGGCATAAAATCTCATCACACTTTACATAAAACACATGGACAGGCATGTTTAACAGACCGCTGATGTCATGGCAGAAACAAATCCCAACACTGAAACAGAAGTAAAAGGAAGAAGAAAGCAGATCAGTCTGCTGCAGGTGAAGGCGTCTGTAAGGCAGTGTGTGTGCATGAGTGCTGATCTGGCACTTCTGGAATAAACAGCCAAACTGGAGGAAACTGTTTGGCTCTGGGGGCTCCTCGTTTTGGTACGAACTAGACTTTACAAAAAAGACAAGACACAGAGACCTCGTCTTTCATCTAAAGGTGCTTTGTCTCGTGGAAACGTCTCCGACCGATCAGGAGGGGCGCATGGAGCGCAAATCCAAATAAGGCTTTCACAGTCCGAGGCGACGGTTTGAAAGTGTCTGGCGGATGTGAGCGGGGTCCGGCGTTACTCCAGGTCCTGGAGGTTGATGGTGCTTCCTGTGAACTGGGAATTATCAGAGCCGTTGTCCTCTTCCGTCATCACCGAGGGTTCCTGTTTGGGAAAAACAACGAGTTAACCAGAAGAAGAAGAAGAAGAAGAAAAAAAGAAACTCAAACATTTGATTTTAGAAGTTTCACTAAATTCAACCTTCAGTTCCATTTATTCATCAAGAAACGTAAACATGTTGGGAAACAATTGGACATGCTAACATGCTAAGCTATGGCTCCATTTGCTGGAATGCCCAGAAAGATTTTTTCACACTAATTACTGAGAAGGGTGTAAATAATTTGACTTTGTCAATATAAAATTTAAATTACAACTTATTTCCAGAAAGTTTGTCCAGAAAGGGAGGTTTGTTTTAGCAATATTTTATAATCTTGAGAAACACATCTGCTTCATTTCCATCCCCTCCCAACCTGGACCTTGTTTTGAAGTCACTGTATTTTACACTTGAGAACCACTAGGTGTCCCACTCTCAAGTCCACAATTGTGACTCAACTCGCCTGTAAAATGTTGACAGGTAAGTCCACAGTGAGCTGAGAGCCAGAGGTGGATGGCTGGGAGGTCAGCTGGAAGGCCAGGTCACCATCACTGGCTGGATCATCCTGTATCAACACACACGCACACACACACACACACACACGCACACACACACGTTTCAGCATGGTCTCCAGCAACAGCTACAGCTACCCTCTGAAATCAATAACATGATGAAAAAGAAAGAGGTGGAGCCTAATGGTTCCTGCTGCACAGAACTGTTGTCCAGTGATCACCTCAGACCTTGGCAGAAATGTTTTGACAGCATTTTGGACAAACTCGACTTGAACACATCCTTTTATTTTTCCTTCATAGAATTATAAATTATTGACCGTGTTCCAGACTTTAAATAAATGATGTCCGAAACAGCAGGAGCGGCTGCAGGGTGGACGAGAGGGTTTGGGGCAGAAACAGAAAAAGGTTGGATGAAACGGTGCACAGAGCTGGAGACTTAAAGCTTTAAACAGAAATCAAAATATGCGTTTTCACATTTAATGACCAAAATCAGCATGTCTATGAGGAAGAGTGTGGCAGGACCATGCAAGACAACATTCCTGGACTGAACATAATATACAAAAGTAATGTCTTAAGGGGCAGAGCTGTTCCATTGGGTTCTGTTAGTTTGAACACCAACAGACCCAGTTACAGCCCAATAGAGGTGGGGAGTCCAGGCTGGCAGCTGCAAGGCACGATGTGTTCACTGACTGAACAAACGATTGAATTTTTCACTTTGTGAATGCCAGTCAGAAAACTGTCCCATTCAGCTCCCCGGCTCACGTCGTGGGTCGTGTGAGGTTGAAAGCACAGAAGAAGAAAAGCAGCGCTGTGGGCTTAGAGATCTGAGGGAGTGTGTGAGGAAACACACCGGGCTGAATCTCACCTGCAGCAGCTGAATCTGGACGTACTGAGTCCCTGTGACCGGGTCCCGCAGGGTCAGACCCCCACCGGCCGCTACAGCGCCGTCACTGTAACGAGCGCCAGAGGACGAGAGGGGTACGGTTGCCACGGCAACCTTTGATGCTTTAGTTTTCCTCTGGCCTGAGCCTGAAGTTCCTGGAATGTGGAAGAAGAGTGACAGGTTAAGGTGATGTAACTCTTCTGACAGTGGAGGGGAGGTGGAGGTCCTCACCAGCGCCGGCTGAAGAACCCCTCTGCTTCTTCTTCTTGGCAAGCTGGATGGCTCTGTAGTCTGTCCGGGCAGAACCTCCACTGTCCTGAGGGGGAACCAGGACAGAACAATCACTGACTGTTCCCAGCCAGAACCCCTGAATCATGAGAGGAAGCGGTGAGGAAGTAAACCAGGATGAAGGGTTTCCTCTCACCAGGAAGCTGCTGGGTGACACGGCCAGGTCCAACTCCTTCTGGGGGCTGAAGCCGCCGCCGGAGGAACCGGGGAAAACAAACTGAGAAGTGACGACTTTCCCTCCTTCCTGAGGGCCCAGAACCTCCACGCAGCCCAGCAGGTGGCCCGCACCTCCTTGCGCTCCAACCTCCGCCACCTTGGAGGGTGAGGTCAGGAGCTCGGAGACCACCGCCAAGCCGGCGGCGGACTCCACCCCGAGCCCACCAGAGGAGCTGAGGGGGTGCTGCAGGGCCGGGTCCACGGGGGCGCCCTGCATGCCCAGAGCCTCTGGGGTGACCGACTGAACGTCGTCTAGGTTGAGTGTGCCTTGGGGAGGGAGGACGTCCCCCACGGTTCCCTCCAGTCCATGTTGGTGGGCCAAGTCGGCACCGGTCGCCATGACGAGTGGTTCCAAAGGCTTGGCCAATGTGGTACTGGCGCTGGCGACAAGTGTGGCACCCACCGACGACGGGTCGATGGTAAGAATCCCCGAGCTGACCAGGGACAGGTCCATGGTGAAGGAGCCGTTGGAGGCGCCTCCAGCCACAGGGATCCCCACCTCGATGCCGGCGGTGGGCGCCGCGCCGCCGGGGACCGAGGAGAACAGGGAGCTGAGGTCCAAGCTGGACAGCTGCTCCGCCCCGCCAACGCCAGAACCAGGTACTGACGTTGGGGTGGAGCTGATGAGTTCACTGCTGGGAGTTAGGGTGGGTGTGGTCTCCATCTGGCACAGAACATCTGCAGAACAGAGACAAAGAAAACAAAAATCAGAAAGCTGTCAGAAGCACAGGAATGAGAGATGCGATTAACATTTTGGCTGATGATAATTCTTTCTTTTTTTTTTGTCTGAAATATAGCAAGAAAGTTGGTGAACTGGCAGCAGTGGGGCGACTATTATTAACAGGGTGTTCCTGGGTTAGGAGGAACCCTGCTGGTACCCACCGGGGCTGAGGTGGTGATGTTTGAGCATGTGGCTCTTCAGGTTGCTGCGGGAGGAGAAGTGCTTGGAACAGTTGGCCACCGGACAGCGGGTCCTCAGGGTGCTGGCGTCTTGCTTATGCTTCTTAGAGTGGATGTATAAGCTGCTGCGGGCTGAGAACTTGGCGTAGCAGCCTGAGGACAGGAAGCAGACATTACGGTTCCTGTGACCAGCAGCGGACAGAGGACACAAAAATTGCACTCAAGTAAGAGTACAGCTCAAGTAAAACGTAGCCATTCAAGAAATTACTCAAGTAGGAGTAAATAAGTGTTTAGTAAAAAGTCTTCTAAAGTACTAAATATCTGATCAAATTAAACCATGTCCTGCTGTAAAGGCTGCTGGACGGATAAAGAGTTGGCTGACCTTCTGCGTGGCACTGAAAGGGTTTGGTGCCCAGGTGGGTGATGCTGTGGCCCTTCAGGTGCTCAGCTCTGGTGAAAGACTTCCCACAGCCCTCCTCCGGACAGACAAATCGACGGTCGTCGTCGTGTTTCCTGACAAAAACCATACAGACGGTCGTCATCGTTTCATACGCCGGGGAGACGGAAGCGCTCTGTTCACGTCGGAGGAGAACGGGTTCGGGAAGCTCTCACCGTTTGTGACGGAGCAGCTTGGACATGCTGGTGAAAGACCAACCGCAGCCCTCCGAGTCGCACACAAAGGGCCGCTCACCTGAAGAGCGCAGTGCGAAAAGATCAGAGTCGCATAAAGTGTTACATGTCGCTGGAGTTTGGGCTTTAACACCGAGAGGAAGGATTCTGATGTTGGACGACAACTGCTTTGATGATTCAGCAAGTGAAACATTCACTGCAACTGTTCTGAAACTCACTCAGCGGAGGCTCAAAACCCGACTGGGATTTCAGCACACAAGCTGATCAAGTATGCATGTTGCTATCATCCGGACACGTGTGTGAGTGTGTGATGGCCTGCCAGCTTACCTGTGTGACTCCTCATGTGAATTTTCAGGCGGCAGGCCTTGTCGTAGGTCTTGTCGCAGCCTGGGAAGGTGCAGCTGAACTGGCCCGTTTCTCTGAAGTGAGTCCGATTGTGTGAGAAGAGGGCACTGAAGGTGATGAAGGTTTTCTCGCAGCCTGTACAGGAGAGGAGAGCAGCTGGAGCTTAAAAAAAACAAAACCCAGCAGTGCACCGACTGCAGTTTTCTGGCCAATTCAGGATTATAGATCTTTTCAAAATCAGAAAACCTTCTAAACCCATTGTTTCTGTATTTGGGAAAAACTTCCTGCTGGAAAACTAGCTTTATCCATCTGACCCAGGATGTGTGGAAGTAGATGAACACTAAAGCATCCACAGTGAAATCAACACATAGCCAGAAAGGATCGACTGAAACTGGCCGGTTTCTAAACCAGCTTTCCAAGGTGAAGTTTAATAGTAACAAGGGGAAAATATTAAGCCATCAGTGGATAACCTTGTTATCGCCTTGGTGATGGTGGTCCAGGTGCAATTACCTTAGAAACCGTTTTTCCAAACATCAGCGCTCTATGTTTGTATTTGAACCGTCTGTATTCAGAGAAAATTCTCATTGAATCCAAACTTGTGGACTGGCTGAATTGGGTTTTCCTGAGTTCAGCAAAAGTGTTTGTGCCTCACAGTAAATGGCCTTCAAGTGCAAAATGAGCATGGGAACTATCGGACCAGTACCTGGGAATTCACACTTGTGGGGCCTCTGTGGTGCGAAGTGGACCCTCTGGTGATTGGTGAGGCGAGTGGCGCTGCGGAACTTCTCGTTGCACACCTCGCAGGCGAAGGCGTGGTCCTGCTCGTGGACCTTGACGTGAGCCTTCAGGTTGTAGACCGTGGTGAACCGCCTGCCGCAGCCTTCGAACTCGCAGGTGTGCGGCCGCTGCTTGTCGTGGGACTGGAGGTGGCGCTTCAGCTTGTAGGAGGTGGCAAAGGCCCAGCCGCAGCCCTCCACTTTGCACTGGTACGGCCGTGGCTCCTCCGCGTGGTGCAACAGGTGGACCTTCAGCTTCTGGCGAGAGTCAAACGCGGAAGAGCAACCGGGTTCCGGGCAGGCGAAGGTGGCAACCATGTCCTTTTTCGATCTGATCAGGGATAAGGAGTTCAGGTCTTCATTGCTACACCCCCCAACGGGGGCTTTTGGCGATGGAGCAATCAAGTCGGCCTCCGTCACAGCACACAGGACTCCGGCTTCCTGCTTGGCAGCAGAACAGGAGTCCAGCGAGGTGCCCAGTTCTGACAAGGCGCAGTCTTCCACCAGGGCCAGCTCAGAGTCACTGACAGACACACCAGCCCTGGGCTCTTCCTGCTGACTGGAGCTGGCTACTGCCAGGGTGCTGATCTTCCCGATAGATTTAGTACCACTGTCATAATTGAGAAGAACTATATCCTCATGGTCTTTCATGCCTAGATGTTCCTTTAAGCTCACCATGTCATCCTCTTTGTGGACGTACCCCTCTGGTGGAGCCGCCAGAGTCAGGACCCCATTTTCAATAGTGACAATGATGCTTTGGTTGTTTATTGTAATGGTCCCGGAAAAGGTCTCCGCGGCAGGCGGACTGCTGGAGGAGGTGAGCGGGTGTGTACCGTCCTGCAGTCGCGTTGTCTCGGAGCCGTAGGCTGGTTTCTCCATAGGCTGCGCCGCCCCGGAGGTCAGCGCCGCGGCGTGGTCTGGTCGGCCACCGAGCAGCCTGTCGTCACCGTTTTCCGTACAGATCTGCCCACAGAGCTTATCGCCATATTTGTTCGTCAAAACTACGTCTTTGACGGTGTGATGGTCGTCAGCTGTCTTGGCACTCAGCACAGCGGGATTATCGGTCAGTAAACTGAAGACGTGTTCTGCCCTCCTCGGTGTTTGCGTGTCAGGACAGCCCAGGATGTCAGCGGTCTCACAGAAGGCGACACCGCCGCCGCCAGCCTCCATGGAGCCGCAGCCCTCCGCTTCCTTTCCCTTCATTTTACCCCCACTGTCGCACGAGCCATCCGCTCGGTTTCTGCTCGCGGCGGCTGCCCCATCCTCTCTGGCGGTATTAAACACGACATATAGCTCCTGTGTTAGTCTGTCAGTTTTTTTCCCCGGGTTCCGGCTTCCCGCCGAAGCATTAAGAATAGCTCCGAGGCTTTCACCGACAGGCTGCTTCAGAGCGCAGTCCTCACGCTGCTGCCGTAAAACCGGAGAGGACAACTGCAGCTGCCTCTGAGGCATCGCTTCCGCCTCCCCCTCGAACAGAGGCAGCGCCATTTGCATTACCTCACCGTTTTCCTCGTATCGCCACTCAGTCCTGCTGAAGTCCTGCGAGCCGAGAAGGGAATTGAACACGTTTTCCTTTTCCGCGTTCATCATGTTATGAAGTCCCAGAATCGCTCTGTCTTCGGGTGCAATGCTGCTGGCCGCTGAGACGTTTTTGGTGACGGGAGAACGAGCGAGCTCGCTGCCATTTTCCCCCAGCAGGCGAAACTGCGCTGTCTTCGGCCCCGCGTTGTTGTTACTGTCACTCTGAAGCTCGGGCAGCTCCGGCGGTCCGTCCGCTTCATTTTCGATTGAAATCAATTGCGGGAACGAGGCTCCGGTTGACCGAAGTGCAGACGAAGCGGTTCTGTGTAGGGCGCCATGTTGAGAGTGGATGTTTTGGGCATCAGAAAGCCCCTGGATTTCCATCTTGGTATCCCTGTAGCAGCGGCACCGAAAAGGCCCGCCCTAAAAGCCGGAGATGATCCATCCAGTCACAACACGGTCTCTGTCAGGCCGAGTGCCGCGTTCAGGGCATGTACGGAAATTATAGAAACGATTCGAGGAATATTCCGTCAACACATTGATCATTCTGCAAATAATTGGTTTCTGCTTAAAATATCAAAACAGTATTTTTTTCCCAATAAACCCAAAGGTTATTTTTTTATATTAAGCTAAAGGAACCGAGCCGAATGTTATTCAGGTTTCTATAATTTGATTTGGTGCATGTAATTACAATTTTCAGGTTTTCATACATGCAAAATGCATTTTCATCTGGGGTAATAAGTGTACAAGAGACTATTCCGAAAAAAGAAAGTTTAATATAATCGGGGTTACCCTTTTAGCTGTAATGTTCTATTAAAACACTCGTTAAATTAGGCATTCCGCCAACATGCTAAATTAAGGAGTGTAGTTTCACACTGTCTCCTCTAAGCGGCAGTGTAGCACTAAGAAATGCGCAGATCTCTGTACGCAAACACTGAAAGAAGAATCTCAATAGAACGTCTTATGACGTACATTAAAATGACATTGTGAAATACTGATTAGCAAATGCTCAGTCACATTATTTTTTTACTAAGTGGGTTAAGCAGAAGTTTTTTTAAAAAAAAAGCTACAGAAATAAAATGAAAAAAGTCTGGATCAGGAAGAAATACTGTTCAATCTGCACGTTATGTGTTTGCAATTGATCTTAATGGGTAATATGTTGTGCAGAATTCATTGGACCAGAGAGAAGCATTAAACAACATTTCTTAGTGGGTTTAATTCAGAATGTTTACACAGTGCAACAAGCTCAGCATGCTTGTACAATGTACCCAATAAATCAAATGGTGCAGTGTTGGTCATTACATTAAAGCATGCACGTTTTAAGCACATGCTGCTCAAACCTACTCTAGAGACTGTTTTCCACTTATTTACATATTTTGGGTCATCATGCTGGCAGTTCGTTCAATGATGCTGTACAAAACAACAAAAATAAATAATAAAGAACACCCCTGCACAGTGCACAAGTCAGAACAAAAACGATCAAATGTCGTCCAGAGTAATTGACAGGATGAAAACACTGAACAGAATCAGAGCCACATGAACATGCAAAATGACAAAGTTCTTGTGTTGTCATATAAAAATAGATTTCCCCCTTGCAGGACTATGACAGAAATAAGGCCACGTATCTATTTCCCTTCTAACATCACAGGTGCTAAAATGATCATACTTTAATAAAGTGGTTCCTGTAGTTTTGGTCTAGTTTCTAGTGCAAACATCTGAGTACACTTGAACTAGTATAATTTACAAGTAACTTTTCAGGAAGATTTAGGAGCTTGTTTTAAGTTAATTATTTTTCAATATTGATTTTTCAAAGTGCTAGTGCCATAGGCAGATTATTTAACTTATAATAAATTTTTCCCCCTACATCATAAGAGAAAAAACCTGCCTTTGGAACTAGAACTTCTACTTCAATATTAAGGAATTATTGACTTTAAACAAGCCCCCATATCTTTCAGTAAATGTATTTCTAACTCAGTTTTGTCTTATTTGAAGTGTACTAAGATACCTTTAATAGAAACTAGACCAAAAATACTTGGTAAGATTTCTGTTGAACACCGTAGTGAGAGCTAAACGTCAAACATGGAACGACTGAAGCAAAATGCGCAAAGTGTTGTTTTTGTTTATTGCGTCGTGCACCACAGGAGGAAGCACAACCTTTCACAGTAAGAGGAAACCCATCGGAGCTCAGTTATACTCAGACATACAGCTTTTAACGTCCTGTTATCACCACCCAGAATTTAGGAAAAAAGCATTTTCCTTTTTGGTCAGGAGCGTCCTGGAGCTATCCACTCTGATTCTTTTAAGACAAAAAGAAAAAAATGTCTTATGAAACAGGCTCTCGTTTTGAGCTTGAAATGTAGTAGACAACTACATCTCAAATGGAACTTAACTGCATTCTACTTTTCAATTGTTAATAAAATAAAAACGATCAAAGCAGGTCTCTCTTGTAAATAAAATCTTGGATCTCAATGAGACATGTACAAAACATTTTTGAGAGTTGATGACAAGAATAAAGCACAAAAGACCCATTTTGATCGTTGAGTAAAACCTCAAACGATCTAGTTTCTTCCATCAGCTGTGCGTCAAACCATCTACGTTAATTACTGATTTAAAGCCGCCGCGTTGATGTTCAGATACTTCTGGGTCGCAGAAACGCAACAGAACACCTGCAGAAAAATGATTGAAAAGCAAAGCAAACGACGAAAGTTTGTAAATTCACCTGAGGGCTTCAACTGCAAGAAACACTAAAATGTTCCAGGTATTTTTGCTCCAGTTTCCACTGCAAATACCTCCAAATAAGACACAAATAACTAATAAGTAACTTCTCAGCAAGATACAGGAGATTGTTTTAAGGGAATAATTCCTTAATATTGATTATTTCACTTATAACAAGACATCTTCTTGTGTTTTAAGTTAAATAATCTAACACTAGTGCGTTCTGATCAACATTAAAGTATAATTTACTTCAAGCAAGTTCTTGTGTCTTGCCAGAAAGGTGCTTATAAGTTACTTTCGTCTTATTTCAAGTGTACTAAGACACCAGCAGAAACACTTGTTTAGTGTTTTTGCTGTTTCTGCTCTCATGCTCTCCGTCCATCTGCTCTGCACTGAGGTCTTCAGGGTCACCATAACAAAACACGGAGGCTTTTCACTCCCTCTGAGCAGCAGCTTACTTTCCGTGAATAATTCATGGCGCCCGACAAAAGCTGAGGAGAAAAAGCAATGAATCCCCTCTTCTTCCTTCGTGGAGAATCAAAGTGAATAAAAGCGGCCTGGATCTCTCCTCTCATCCTCCGCTACACGTGACGCGTTCTGGTCTGGACCGGAGGCCGTTCATTTTCCAAACAGCGGAATGTGCTCGAGACGGCGGCGTCGGCCTCATGCAACATTTACCCCTAACGTCCCACAGCGGGAATAGACAGAGGAGCAGCAGGACAGAGGGAAGGGGGGCGGGTTAAAATCTGCTTTCTGATGGGGCCCTGCATCCCTCGCTCTCTGGTCGAGGGATGCAGGGCCCCGTCCCCTCCCGTCCCGTCCGTGTGGGATTCATTTAGACTCGCTCTACTTCCAAACGGTGACCTGAAAACGCGCGGCCCTCACGCCACCCCTGTCCGTGAAAACACGCGGGAGCAAATCTTGGTTGCTGTTGTATAATTAAACATATAATTTGTTCCTGTGAGATCTGGGTTGATTAAAAAAATGAAGAGAGAGAAAAATCAAAAGAAACGATTACACCATGACAACAAACTCAGCTGATGAAGAAAGCAGGACAAATAGTGGAAAGTTTTGTTGTGCTTTGAAAATTTTGACTGAGTTTTTTGTTTGTTTGTTTGTTTCTACAATTGACAAAGTGGTTATGTGTATATTAATTCATTAAGTGAATGAGTATTTTTTTGTTTTCACACAAACTGACTTGCTAACTTCATTCCGACTGTGTTTAATCAAAAAAAGACAGTATATTGATCTGATTAGCACACTGACTAATCAGATTATACTTATTATGTTTAGTTTCGCACTGATTGCAGTTTTCAGGCCAAATCGCAGATTACTGATATTATAACAGCCTGACCTGCTAATTCTAATTTTGGCCTATATCAATTTTTTTGTTTGCTTTTTTTTTGTCTGAAATGTTGCTATATATAGCAAGAAAGTCGCTGAGTCTGCAACAGTAGAGTGAATATTGCTAACTGTAAAGGCAGACCTGACCTGGTGGGCGGAGCCAACAGTCAAGCCTCTTTCTCTGCAGAGCAGAAGAGGAGAGCGATTGATTTTTATACCTCTGCTGAGATAAATAAGACCGGGTTCACATGTAAGTATCTGCTGATTGATAACCTCCCATAAGTAAGAAATGACCAGTTCCACTGGCAGATCATTTCACTTACAACAAGACATTTTTCCCATGTTATTAGTGATATAATCTGCCAACGGAACTAGAACTTTTTCATCAAAAATAATGATTTACTTAAAACGAGCTCCTACGTCTTCTAGAAAAGTTACTTATAGGGTGTTTTTTTCTTATTTCATGAAGACTAAGATATTTGCACTAAAAACTACACAAAAAAACATGGTGAGATTTTGTGTTTTTTGTAGTTTAAGTGACAAAGTGACAAAAGTATGTTAGATTGGGAAATTATGACAGGGTGCATTTAAACAGCCACTGCACTATATTGTTTTCTTTTTTGATAACTCACCTTGCTACAAACAATAATGTCTTATTAAAAATATTACTTTGTAATTCAAATTGGGTATATATATATATAAAAAAAAGATTTCATATTTACCTAGATGAATACAAAGTTTCCTGTTCTGTCAGCATTTAATATTCTTTGGGAGACCGAGATCGATATCCAGCTTTTATTTTCTCAATAAATGACACCGGGTTCCAAAAAAACATATTTTTTTGGAAGTTGTTTGTGTTTGTGAGTTAGGATGATTTTGCACGGCTGAATCCAAAAGCGACCATTTTTCTCAATCAGGTCAGGATTTTATTCTAGTTTAATTTCGAGAAATCTAATCTTCCGACTAAAGTGATGATTTTGTGACTTTATCAGTTCATTTCTGTTAATATTTCTTATCCAAAAAAGATTTTTGGAGAAAAAGAAATGTTTTCTAACACAGTATATTAATTAAATGTTACAAACAAGGATTTCTGTACACCGAACAATAAACAGTGATAAGGGTAAGTACATGTAAATCAAACATTTCGTCTTCATTGTGTAAAATTCTCCGTCTCTTTTCTGTCCTGATGGAGTCTCTCCTCCTGCTCTTCACTCATTGATCCAGATTCTCAGTGTCTTGCATTTTGATGCTCATGTTGCTCCATGCTTCAGAAAGTTGACCTGATTGAGAAAAACCAATGTGATTTCTGGATTCAGCTCATCAAAGTGACCCTAAAACAATAAAAAAAACCAAGACAATTTTCTGGCTGTTGGCCAGTGTGATATGAACGCTTCTCTAAGCGATCCTCGCTTCTTTGATTTTAGCTTGTGTCAAACGTTTTGAACGGCCTGCGTTGAAACAATCAGACGAGGACAAACGTTCTGCTAGAACCGGTCGAAGTGTCTCAGGCTCCGCAGGAGCCACCAAAGACAGCAGCAGCTGCGGACCTGAAGTCTGGTGGACATTTAACTGAACAAAATGAATTATTTGAGTTGTGTGATGTGCTGGCAGAATGCTTCACTTTGTAGGTGCTGAAGAAGCCTGACCTTAAAAAAACTAACTAAAAAGGATGAAATAAAAGTTTTGACCTCCGACCTCCTACCCTGATACCTCAGATATAGTTGTAGAAAACGGAAAAGAGGCGCCGTCTCTCTTTTAGGCTCAGTTTACTGATTTGGTTTATGCCAACCAACCCTGAAGTTACACACCTTACACACTTGCACATACACACAGAAGGGGACACACACCCAAACACACACACAGACACACACGCACGCACACAAACACAGTCATTTTCTCAAGCTAGCTTCTGCTCTTCACTGCTTGCTGCCGTCAGTCAGGGACGAGCGTTGCTCTGCTTTGTGGTTTCAGCGCTGCTGGGGTCAGAGGTGGGGTCAGAGGTGGCGGGTCTCGGAGGTCGTGCTTCAAACCCCCGGCTCTTCATGTAAGACATCAGCTGATCGGGGATTTCTGCCAGGACGTCCTTAGCCAGCCGGGCCATGCTCAGGACCTGGTTACCCGACCGATCGATGTAGTCCCGGAAAGGAACAAACTGGAATGAAACAATAACAATAACAACCACCTGCTAGCATACTTTAGAGAACTAAGGGCAACTAGCAGAACTCGGGGCAAAACGCTAAAGAAATGCGAGACTTGAGCAGAATTCTTTTCAGCAATCTCCTGTTAAAAAAAAAAAAAGCCAAGAAGTCGCCAACTGATAGTTTAGCAACTCAGAGAAAACAGTCCAGCACTTCCTGTTAACCAGGACTTTATTATAGGAGCAACATGGTGGAAAAGTTTAGTAGTTTTGAAACCCTGATGTTTTAAAGGTTGATTATGCTTTGACGTTGGTAAATATTTGCCAACTATTAAATTCTCTATCAAAATCATCTTTTTGCTTCTTTAGTTTTTTTTGCCTTACATTTCAGATAAACTCAAAGCTTTCTCTGTGTTAGATACGTTTCCGAGCCTGAGGATGACAGTTTTTATTTTACACTACCGTGAAGAAAATTACAAAAGTGAATGAAACGATTTTTGTGACTTGCTTGCTTTTTACTTCACAAACATGTTTAAAATGGAAGAAAAAATGCCCTCTACCATACGTTATCTGTCTTTTTGGACAAAATTATGTATTTAAATTTATAGCCAATATCACAACAAAATGAGTCTTTCAAAGAATCAAATGAAATCTGATGGAGCCATGTAATCCTCAGACAGGGACAAAAAGAAAACACAATTCAGTTGCAAAATAATATATTTTTTTAATTGGATAGTCATGATGTTGGAATAACAAAATAGAACTAAAGAAAAAAATGATTTACATTTTTTTTAAACAAACAGATGGGGTGAAAAAGCAAAGTGTGTGAGTTCAGCACCTGGACGATGTCCCTCTCGGCGAATCGTCCCCTGGAGGACACTCTGACTTCGTCCCCGTCCAGCTCCTCCATCGCTGCAAGCAACAAACACGGCACAGTACAGGATGCTGCGCGGGAACTTTGTCACACATGAGTGAACATATTGCAGGATTAAAATGACTGCTCTGTCCTCAGGACAAAAACAATAAATTAATTTTGTCAAAAGAAAAAGTCAGAGTCAGTCAGAGAAGACAACAAAAGATAGATATTTCTGTTCCTTACGAATACAATAAGAGTATTTTAATAATTGTTACACTGTGGAGCTGCTGTCACTGTTTCTTGACGGGATCTGACCCATCAAACACTTGCCGTAAAAGTGTTCCAGTAAAAGCGAGTCCACTTTTACTTCACTATGAATAACAAATTTAACATTATGCAAACTCTTTAAATACAGAGCTATAATTAGTCAGATACTCTTGTCGTCGTCAAGCAAATTCATGACTTTCCCTATTGTAGTCAAGTCGTAACAAAATGTCCGGAATGAAACCAGGCTGCTAATCAGCCATGAAAGCAATAAAGACTCTGCATTGACGACAAGTCGGCCATCTCCGCATGTAGAAGAATATCCTGCAAAACAACTTTATTAGAGATAATATGGGTCACAGGAAGGGAAGATCTCATAAGATTGCAGAAGGATCAGCATAATCAGGTTGTGTAGAATTGCTCAGCCACGCAGAAGCAGGAAGGTAAGAAAAGGATGTGATAGGAGGACGTCGAGGCTCAGGACACAGCCAGGACAGAGAGAAAGAAGAGAGGACACGAAACCAATAGGAACTGAGCCAAGAGGTTTAAAGGGTTTTCAGGCGTGCGGCTCGAGCCACGCCCGCCGAGACGAGACACGAAACCTCGTGTTGCCGTGACAAATCGTACGCTAATCAGTAAAGCTTCCAGCGCTAACTCATTCACTGGAAATACATTTTAAATGAAGTTTAATGGTGTAATGAAGGTGTCATGAGCTCATCAGCGCGACGCTCCTGCGAACGTTATAGCTTAACGGACAAACGTTGTCAGAAAGAGCAGGAGCTTCTTAAAGAGACAGATGCCCAACGCAAAGTCAAATTTATTTCAAGTTACATTTGATAGAACAACATTTTTAGAACAACTGAATGTAACATATTTACTTGATTGTGCTATAAAATTTTCACAATGTGCTTGGAAAATTAAACCTCACTTTCACCCACTTGCTCTCTCAATAACTGTAGAGAGCCGACTCTCTATCAGAGCATATCATTGTACCAACATTTAGAGTTACTGAAACCAACCCTACAGTCTTGCCTTTCTTCTTCACACCAATGGGGCCCACTCTGGACCTGATTATTAATGAGAAATATTTCCGAGATCTCTGTGACTAATGTCGTCCTTTCTGAACGTTTTTCTTCTATCTTTAAAACCGTAAATTTCTTTGACGAACTTCGCCAGAGATATTATGACAAATATAATATCTCTGGCGGCTGCTCATTATTATTCCTTTTTGCCACTGTCATGTTCTTTTTTGTTGTTTATTTGTTCATTGTGTCAAATTAAGCACGTAAAGCACTTCAAAGTGCTTCGTTGCCGACATCTACAAGTAAACCTGACTTGGCTTTCTTTTCTTTCTGTTAAATATGATAATTTTCTGCTCTCAGCAAAGAACACATTTAACATTAGGACAATAACAAACTGTTTAACATAGAAAGACATGTTTAATACCCGCTTCAAGGTTGTTGACTCATTGGAACGCATTCTAATGCACTGAGATGTGCAGATGTAACTTTACAGGTCAGAAGACGAGTTTGAAGCTGCAGAGAAACAATCAGATGCAGGAAGGGGATGAGAGGATTAACTACTGTCAATTTTAAAGGCGCATTCCCACACGGTGTTCTCTGAAGGGCTTCGCTCCAACCTGAGCTGTTCAACCAGGTAGACGGTTCAGACGGAACTACAACTCAGAAAACCTTCACTCAGGAGAGGCTCGTGTGATTCATCTTCTTTTCCACGCTGCGCGTCGGCTTTTGAAGCTCTTCACGCGCCGAGAGTCGGCAACTTAGACACACATGAGGCAGCGAAACAATCCGCAAAACCGTCATGGTGAGCCAAATATAGCACTGGGGAATATATGTAACAGCAACAACCAAACCCAGCAGTGAGAAAGATTTATGCTCTTTTTTTTTTTTTTTCAGAAAGTGAGCAGCTCTTCAGCTTTTAGAAAACGGCAAAACTGATGACTGAGACAAAGAACTGCGCGTAAGTCTTAAGGCATCCTTCATTTGCATTTTAAAACCTCTTTGGTTAATGGTGGACAAATTGCGTTTGGAATAAGACACTTAAAAACAAATAAACAAACAAAAAAATCATCTAAAATGCTGGCTGGTGTAGTTGCCAGAATTTTATAGAAAAATTCATATTTATACAGCATTTTACCATAAATTAGAGATGTGTTGGTTTTTTGCTTTTTTTTTTGGGTCTCTACTTGGCTGACATTTTGCCTGCTCGTGTCTGAACCAGAGCCTCTGTAAAAACGGTGTGGATGATTGACAGTGGGAGCAGCTGAGACATGCTGGATGGAGGATTTGCAGTAGAACGGTGACATATCTAATCATTCTGTCGGCTTTAAGCGGCTGAGAAAGTGCCGTTTACACAGACGTACAGATGCTTACCGTCGAACTCAGCGGGGCCCACTCCCACGATGATGAGAGACATGGGCAGCGACGCCGCCTGTGGAAGGAGCAGAGGGCAGACGGTGTTCATACCAAAGAAGACGAAGTTTGCAAAAATGAAACTCAAAAGTGAAATTAACTCAATGTTCGTTGTTAATTCCAAAGGAAAAACAAATTTTGGTTGTGTGTGTGTATTAACATGTTATTGTGTTTAGGCCTGTCACAATAGGTAATTAATCAGCTAATTGCTTTAAAATGAGCTCAATCATTTACATTCTGATGATAATGCTTCTTTGAGGCCAGTTTGGTTTACAGAGACCTCATAATCCATTCTAGTTTTGGTTTTTCTTCTAAGTGCTTTTAATTTATTATCTTTGGTTGCTGTGTTTTATTTTCAATGCTTACAATATTTTCCATTTCCATATTTTAAAAAAAAATTAAATTTCATTGGTCTTTGAGAGGCTGAACTTACAATATCACTCCATAATTATTTTCTTACTTGAAAATGGTCTCAAACAGCAATATTAACGTTTATCATAATGATTTCTGGAATCGCTTATCATCCAGCAAAATCTTTTATCATGACATGGCTGCATACAGATTATGACACGGTTATTTCACTTACCGCCGTGTTCCAAATTATTATGCAAATTTATGTCATCTTTATGCTATTAAATTTATAGATAGTATTGTGTGTCAGGGCTATTTGAATCACTATAATATATTTCAGAGAGCTGGTTGATTAGTTTGTCTGGTGAGCTCAATTAAAGGAAATCTACTTCAGGAGGATGTTCCACATTATTAAGCAGGCCACAGGTTTCAAGCACTATGGGAAAGAGAAAGCATCTCTCTGCTGACAAAAATCATCAGATAGTTTGACAAGGAATAAAAGCAAGAGATATTTAACCAGAACTGAAGTGTTATCACCGTGCTGTGAAGCGATGACTTGAAAATTATACTGACCATCATTTGCATTGACCTTTTAAGAAGATCTAAGAAAATATCACTTGCATAATCATTTGGAACATGGTGTAATGTCAAACATTTTCCCACAATTTTTTAAATAGTCCTCATGCACCTTATCCCAGTTAAAACTAGTAAAAGATAAACGCAACATTAATCCAGCAGAATCTCCTCACAGCTCAGGCTAAGAAAGGCTTAGTCAAAGTCCCTCCTACGGAGCTCTGTCACGTCCTTCATACGTAACGGAGTCAGACAGCCTTAATGACGCTGATCAAATGTCAATCGGAGGTCTTTGCTTCCCCTTAGGTCAGGTACTTATGGGCATTAACGTCAACTAATCAATCAGTTTTGCGTGAAAACGTAACATTGTTCTATCAGCCCATCGACCCAAACAAGAGAGTTCAAAGAACTGAGTTGTGAATGCTCACATTGACAACCGCCTCTTTAGTTTGAGCCATGTCTGAGATGACGCCATCTGTGATCATCAGCAACACAAAGTACTGCGAGCCATCCGTCACTTCTGCGGCGCACCTGATGTCATAACACACACAGGAATTGGGACAATAACGTGATTCAAGCACACATTGCTGTACAGATGTCGATATTCACCTATTTCACAGGCTAAACCTAACCATGTGTTAGTGTCTCACCGAGCCACCTGGTTAATGACTGGAGCGAAGTTGGTCGGGCCGTACAGCTGGACGGTTCGCAGGGTGTGGAAGTAAGCCTCCAGCACGCCTTCAATCCCCACACAGTTCGGATTCTCTGTGTTAGAATTCTGGAAAAGAGAAAAACAAACCACAACACAAAATGTAACCTGTTTACGCCTGGGAAAACCAGCCGTTTCTGTCGCTTTCTGCTTTGTCCACGCCATTCGACATTTTCTTAAACCTAAATAGAAATGTTCATGTTAGCGCGAGCTACAACGCTTCAGAAAAAATGTCATAGGCTCTCGAGAGAAGGGCTGAAGTGATTAATCGTGATTAAATTATTATTGAAATTAATTTAGTAATCGTTAACTGGAGGAGACAAGCAAATAAATTATATTTTGCTGAAAAAACAGCCAGGAGTGTAAATAAACTAAATGTTAGGAGTATCTTTATTTTGAATTTTTTAGCTGGACGTGAATCCTTTGCTACAAATGATCGAGCATTTACTAAAGGAAATCCATGCTATTGCATTTTACACACATTTTGAAATATTTTGTTATTAAAAAAAGAGTTGAACTAATTGTTCACCTCTTAATTTATTTCTAATATACGTTCAAAATGTAATTAATCATGACAATAATCAATAGATAAATCCATTACTAAAACAATTGTTAGTTGCAGCTGAAAGGAGAGCATTTTCTATGGAAGTATTTTTGGTGCAAAAGTATTGGTGCTGTGCAATTGTGAAGTTAAATCAGAGAGAAAAAGTCCTGTAGGAATTTTGTAATTGCAGATTATTATTATTCTTTTAGCCTTTCATAAATACAAAATACAGAAAAACATAACTCAAAACTCAACGAACCATGTGAGACCAAACAGTGGCTGTGTCCTGTCATGTGTTTACCAGTGGGAAGCCATGGGAGATCTTGCCATCTGGAGGTAGTTTAGCCCCAAAGCCGTATGCAGGGAAGAGCTTGTCACTGTCGTAATCCTGAATGATCTCCCCCACAGCCTTCAGGGCCATGGCATACGCATTCATCTGGTATGGACTCATGTAGTGCAGAGAAGTGGGCTGGGAAGGATTTCCTATAGAATGAATGTACAGAAAAACATCTTTGCTCATAAAGGAAATGCAGTTGTTTAAAATGTATTAGGACTCTTAAAGTTGACGTTATGAAAAAGCTTTGGGTCAATATTTAAATATCTCTTACGAGTGGTGTGACAATAAATAAAAATAAAAGAGGCTCTGCCCCAAACTATGTTCACTTATATTCAGCCAAAACCCAAAATGATACTATTGCCAGCAAATACTTTTGTATCTACTTTTATTCATAATCACTTTGGCTGGAGAGCCCAGTTAATACCACAATCAGGGAACTATATTACTATGTTCAGTTTTTTTATGAAGATGCTGAATATATCACAGACAACTTAAAAGAAATTTGACGTGGCATTTCTGACATCTTGTAATTGGCCTCTGTCTCTTTAAGAACCTCCTACTCGTTGCGACACTCCCCCCCTCAGCATGTCATCATAACGATGCTTCTCCTTGTCGTCCATTGATGCCTCACAGTCTCTCTTAGGAGCGCTGCACTTTGTGTAACGACCAGTTCCACTGGGTGTTTGCTAATTGCTTCTGCCGCTAGTCTGGTGGAGCAGGCTGGGGGCGGGACCTGAAGCTCAGAGGCGGAGCTTTGGGCAAATAGGCGGTGCATCATGTGAGTAGATGTTAAGGTGCCCACAAATGGCTGCTAAGCATGCATCAATGAGTTAAAACAAAACTCTGGATATGTTTTTCATGAGGGAATGATATTTCATATGTAATATTTATCTTAAAAATAACTATTTTAAACACTACAACCCTGCCATGCTACCCTTTTTTTCCTCTACCAACCAATCGCCATGTTGCTGTGGATGTTCCTGTCATTTATGCCTGATCTGTAGCTACAAGGTTGATAAATACTCCAAACAATCAAGTGTAACAATACACAGTCTGGATATGTCTCATGTTATTTCTTAAAATTGGAGCATGTTTTCTATGAAAATGTTCTGCTGGTGTGAATGTGAAGCATCTTACCATTGGACGCAGTGAAGTCTATTGCCACCGTGAAATTCAGTTGTGTCCTGACACAAGATACAAGATATTGGTATTACAAAATCCTTTCAGAAAAGGAGTCCCTCCCTCTCTCTTTGAATGGAAAAATAAATACTGATAGGATGAACATCTTGCCTTGTTTCAAAGTATTCTCTACCAAACATTATATTTCAAATTTTTACATTCAGTTATCTGTCATTTTCACTGTGACAGACTGGCGGCCTGATCAGGGAGACCCCGCCTCTCGCCCCAAGGCTGTGCAGAAAATGGGTGGACGGACTGACGGATGGAATTTTCATTGGAACGGCAAACTCCACTGAATATTCAGTGTGATTTTAATTTTCAGATAAGAAATACTTCAGAAATGTAAGTTCTATTTCCGGCCCTGTCAACCTAATTTTCAATTTTAGAGCTGAAATCGCTATGTTAGTGATTGTATCTAACATAACTAAAGTTGCCTCCTGTCATCACTCCATCAACACACCTTGTGTCATCTGGAAGGACACTGTCATGTCCCTTTGTCTCACTTTTGGCTTTGCTAACTGGATGATTCTCTGGAAATTCCTCTGGCCTAACCAACAACCTCATAGATGTAGATTCTGTCATAGTTCCAGATCAGGTCCCGTAGTCTTAACCCTATTTTTCTAAAATCCCAGACTAACATGACTATCAGATGACACAACACTTCATGAACCTCCCATTGGAGATTAAGTGACAATTAAGGTTCCTTTCCAATGTATGCTCAAACCTGTACTTCTTCCCCTAGTGGCATTCTTCTGCACTGCAAATCTGCTTGATTTCCGTTTGAGAAAGCCATATTTTAGCATCCTCACTAAACCTTTTATTGTACTTAGTGATACTTGAGAATCATGTATTTTACACTTATCTTTGTCACATTTCAACCATCATGCAATAACAAAAACCTCTGTTAATTTTGTCTGTCCTAATAGCAACAGCAATCTCTGGGTCCCTCCATGCGTCTGTGAAACATTTGTGACCGCGCTCTTACCCTCCTCTGATGTAGTCGACAAATGTGTGCTCCGAGTCCACTTTAAAAGACAGGAGAGTCACCTTAAAGATGGAGAGAGGGGAGATGATGGAAAACAGAGGAGAAAGGAACAATAACGGTGAGACGGCACGAGACAAGAGAAACGTCCGAGAAAGTCAGGGGCCTTGCAAATATATTTTTATTACTTGGATAAAAGTCCAAGCAGCCAGGATTATTGTTCAGTAATATATGTTGGCATGTAGTAGTGAAAAACAGTCAAGTTGGTCTTACCGTCCCTGAATTGACATATTTCTTCTTCTTTCCTTTTTTTTTAGGATTCAAAACCTAAACCAAGCAACACCAAAGTACTAGTTATTATACAAGAGTGAGTAGACTTTGGAGAACCTTCAGTGCATCTGTTAATGTCCACATCATGTTGTCTTCAGCAAAACACAAAAAATGCTATATTATGTGAGAAACATTACTTACATGCCAAGGTTTGAGCTTTTTGAATATCATTTAACTCAGTCTGTTAATATGCAAAGATACTTACATAACACCAGCTCAGTGATGTACAAATACATTTTTTGTCGGGTCAATTTGATCTACTAAAAAAAAAATGTTAGCAATAAATTACTTGAAAATGGTCTCAAAACGGCGATATTATCGGATATCGCAATAACTTCTGAGACAATTTATGAACAAGCAAAATTTATTATTGTGGCAGACCTAAAATCTTTGTCACATTTTCCTGTTATACTTGTAGATTTTAATGTTCAAGTTCCACATTAGAAAAGTTTAGTCAAGCGCACTTTGAAATTTTAAGAATCGATTTTGGGCGAACCCAAACTTAGAATCCAATACGGCAGCTGCTCAAATACAGGAGTTTGATCTGAGGCAGTTATTTCAACCAACGATGTGAGCTAACACACTGTTTCCATGTTTGAAAGTATTCAAACCAGAGACACACATTGTTAGCATTTATTGATGTTAGCCTTGGTTTATAGCAATCAGCCAGCTCATGGCTCTCCAACCAACTTTCCATAGGGACACGCAGTAGTTAGGTTGAGGTTTGGATCTTATTCTCATGATTTCAACTCAAAAGGAAGAAAGAACCTAGAAATCACTGAAAAGAATAAATAATAAAGGAACTAGTGCAGCAGCGCAAAGCTCCAGAGACCATGTTAAAACCCTGACTCTCAAGAAAAGACAGGCGATATCTCATGTATTTCATGTTCTGCCTAAAGTCGGAAACTTGTTGTGAATTTCTCCTTACACAGCTTACCTCATAGACATTGAACTGGCTTTGGCCTCTGGACAGTTCCCTGTAGCTGGTGGTAAACTCTCCGATGAAATCATGACTGACAAAAAAAGGGGGAAAAAATGGTTTTATACGAAATGTGTCTACATACGGCTGTCCTGCAAACTGAATGGCCATGCAAAAACCTGTAAGAAAGGATTCCAGGTCACCATGATGACGCACAAGGAGCTTCAACAAATGATGTGGGTCAGAGGCAATGAGAAAACCCGCTGCGGAAGAAAACTCAGGCCAAGGCTGGACTAGAAAGTTCTTTGGTCTGTTGAGACCAAAGTTCAGCTTTTTGCCCGTCAGACAAGATGTTATGTTTAGAGGACACAGACGCCTGCACTTCACTTCAAACATCATCCCCATCATGAAGCTGGCACACAAAAAATAACAAGATCAAACAAAATAAAATGTTTCCAGATCAGTTTCTTTCAATCTGAGACTTATAAAACTTTAACACAAATTGCAGCTGTGTGTCTTTGTCTGATGTATTTTTGGTTAAAACATGTTTGTTTTTCATTCAGTGGGTAGAAAATCCAGAAATTTTACTCAAGTAAGAGTCGAGATGCTTCATAATAAAAGTGACTCAAGCAAAGGTAAAAATAATTTTTTTTCCACAAAATTACTCAAGAAAATGTAACTAGTTGCTACCCACCTCTGCTCACGACTGCCATGATTTTTCTGCTTTAGAGTGACTCTACTAATATTTACTTCATGACTTTAAAAAAAAACATACATTTGGAAGTCTGGATACAAAAGACTACAAATTATGACAAGCCGAGACGTGTAGCCAGCGGGCCGGAAACCCCCCGCAAGTCTTATAATTAAAACCAATAAAGTGAGAGGAGAGCCCCTGCAGCATCCCAGCACCAGACAGAAAGAGAGCCAAACCGCATTCTGCCTTCCCGTTCTCTCAGTGACAACCTTTCACGCACAACTTTTGAGTCGCTACGCAGCATTTGCCAGGCAAGCGCAGCTATCCATCTGCTATAATAAGACGCCCTGGGTTAGACGAAATTGGTGTGACATTTGAGATGCTCTGAGTGGAGCCAGAAAATGAAATGGACAAAAGAAAGGTGAGAGACGGCGAACAAGAGAATTTACCTCCCATCTCTGTCCCAGTCATAAACGTCCACCTTCACTGTCCTGGAGGAAGGTGAGATTCACAGATAGGAGAGAAAATAAAAGGGAGAAGAAGAAACAGCGGAGAGAGAGAAAGATCAAAAACTGGGGGTACTTTTAGTTAGAAAGTTTACTTTTTTGGACGCTTTCATCCTTTAAAAATAACGCTGTGAGGACACGTTCAAATGAAGTCACCTTCATTGAACTTAATGGTGACAGATCTGAGTCCGATCAATGTGAAAATGTCTGTTTTGATTACTGAGACTGAAATATGAATCCTAACGTGAAGGAAAAGACAAATTCACAGACAGATAGACAGACTCTCCTCTCTAGTGACAGACACAGTTGCTCCTGGGTCTGTCACAGTTGCTCCCCAAACCGTATGTGTTGGCCCTCAACAGTTACCATAGGATAGCTTTCATCTGAGAATGAACACTTTTACATAGTGAGTGTGATATGAGCAGTTGATGGTGAAGTTTTCTTCTGTGACAGTCCCAATAACACCAGCACTGGCCCAAGATGAACGTCACAGCCGACTGCTGGCATTATTCTGACCTGCCACGGAATCTCACGCTGTCAAACGGTTCACACCAGAACATCATCAGAACATCACCAGAACATCATCAAAACATCACCAGAACATCACCAGAACATCATCAGTCTTTCAGCTTGTAGCGTGTCTTTGCACGGAGACTCTCAGTGATTTCTAATTCCACCATCATGCAGACTTCCAGGGTTCTGTTCTTCTCCTATTGCCATAGTGAATCACGTTATCTCCGTTCCACTGATGAGGACTCGAGCTCATACTTGACTCAGGGGGAACTTGACTCAGATCTGAGTTACCTCGCTGATGTCTCATGTGGTGAGCATCACAGGGCTGGGAAAGTTCATTCAGAGTATCTGCCTTCAACTCATCTACTTGTTAATCTGCTTTCTGATGTTTCAGGACGCCTGCATACTTGCTCACATGATGGATTCAAATGGTAGATCTGTCTAAGAAATTGCATCACATTAAGTTTTCTTTACCTGTCATAGTCACCGTTGCAAAGAGCTCGAACAGGAATGGTGAATGACTGCCAGACAGGGTTCAGATTGTTCTTGATCACCTCAGTCTTGTGACAAATTGTGAACCTGGTAACAACAAGCAGGACATTTAGTACAGAGGTCAAACAAGTGAATCCGTTTTAAGCAAAGAAGCAAGTTAAAGTTATAAGGAACCATGTGATTACCATAGATAAAAATGTACTTACGTTCCATCTTCATTGCTCCGATAGAAGACAAGGAAAGGATCGGACTTCCCAAAGAAATCCTTTTTATCTAGCTTGTTGGCACAGAACTGCATGGTGGCTATGTCCTAAGACAACAAGGCTTGTTTTCAGGTCTTTTGCACATTGACAAACTTCAGAGCTGAAATACAATACAGCTCTGTATTGTTATGTTTTTTATTCTGTTAAAAATGTGTTAAAAGAACACAATATCATTCTCTAAAAAATAAATTACTTTTCCAAATCTACGTCCTGAAGTCTCTGTAATTTATTGTTGAATCCAGAACACTGACTATAACTGGGGCAAAGTAGAGCCAGTTTGTGTCACACGTGCTTCTCCTTTTGTGGCTAATTATTGGCAACATATAGCAGAGAAACTGATGCTTAAAATGGTCAAATCATTTATGACAATCTGTCACTGATATCGCGAAAGAGGAGTATTAATTATTCCTGCCTTCGCTGACAATTATTCTGAAGACTCCACACAGTCAAGTAAATTCCCTTCGTAAAGTACAAAACTGAAACCGGAGCGTGACTATCATGAATTTAGACCGAGGTGTCGACCTTCATGAGACCATGTCAGATTCTTCCTTTTTTTTTCTTTACAAGCGAGCAGCTGTGAGTTTGTGAGTTTATGATTAAATACAAACCCGGCAGTTGCTGAGCTCCTCGGCTGTGAAGACGATGGAGCCACACTTCTTCCCAGGTATTCCACTGTCAAAGAAAGTTGGAAAAAAAAAACAAAACAGAGACAACAAAAGCAATAATGTTGTTTTGTCAAGGTATTTAGTGGTAATCCTATGAACTGCCAAGCAAAGATTAGTAGCTGACAGGGATGCACCAATTTATTGACACTGATTTCCTTTATTCTGGGAGATCTGTGATAAGCCGATACTTAGAGGTGAAGCCAATCTTATCAGCAAAAGTCTAAAAATCAACCACCGTCCTCCTCTGCCCTCCCATTAGAGAGGTTTGACTGGTAGCCCCGCCCACCAGGTCAAGTCTGCATATTCACAGTTAACATCAGTCATTCCACTGTTGCAAACTCAGTGCCTTTCTTGCTATATCTAAAAATGGCATTGTCCAAAGCCTGAATCAGCAGTTCAGGCTTTTTACAAATCAGTAATCGGCGATCAGCCGAAAAACTGCAATCGGTGCACCGCTGCTCGATGAAATCATAAAATCTAATGAATCAGAGATGAAAGCCTCATTTCATTCTGGCTTTTCTGGCAACCACTTTATGTTAAGTGTGTGTAGCTGCTTTTATTTTTTTATTCTGTCATCATGATGCCCCCAGCAATGGGAATCCTAATGAACAAACAAACTTTACTGCAGAATGACGGATGGAGAAAGACAAAAGGCTGTTAGCGCTTCCTCATAAGCAGCAATTTTTCGTTTTTGATTATTTCAACCCAAAGCTGAAATAATCAGTCTGCATTGTCGTACAAGAGTTGGCACTTTCAAAGTGAGTTTGAAAAAAAGGAAGCAGAAGAGATGGAATGTTCTTTGAAACTGGTGACCCAGATTCCCAGCTGATTGGACTGAGCCAGATGGAGTTGCTGTCTTTAACATGAACCAGAGCCTCAGAATACATGGAGGCTAAAAGCCACCGAGATGCAGTTCTATCTTTGGAACGTCAGATCACTGCCACAACACTTCAAAGCATTAAAGCATCTCATTTGTGGGTGAGCCAAAAAGCAAGCCGTGGTCATCCTTGTTCTCGTTCGAGATCTGGTAAAACGATGCTTGTTTCGTGTTTTGTCCTCTACAGCAGGACGAGAGCGTAATTAAAAGTTTTCCAGCCAGGATGGAGAGAGGAGAAAACCCTTTTCATCCTCTTGATAATTCCCTGTGGCTGTTAAGTCACACTCCACCTCACAACACGACATGGTAATTTGCTCCATCTACTTGGAGCTACGCTTCTGCAGGAGGGAGAGAGAGAGGACTTTGATAAAAATGGCAACTGAAATTTAAAGCCGCTGCTGTAAACATCTGGAGAAGATGACACACAATGCGCACGGTCTCTTCTGCTGTTTGTCGTTTGCACCCTCGAGCTCGGGAGTCTCAAGCCTTCGTCCTCCTCCTCCTCTCGCTCTGTGAACGCAGTCACGTAACCCCCGAGTGCACAAGGTCAGCCGAAACGCCTCAGTTTGAACCGACAAATAATTCCGACTCGTCTGATTTCCTCTCACAGCGGTTTTGGTTTTTAATCAATCTATTCTGACCTTCCAGCTGTAACAAAGGATGCTAACGGTGATTAATGAGCAGCTGCAGGAAGCCAAACGACTTTTCCAGCTCTCGCAAAGAATGTGAGGATACCTGGAACACACAGCCGTGCACAACGCTGCGTTGGTGAGACTGAGAGCAGTATGGGAAAAATGTCATGTTTTTAGTGAAATAATCTGTCAGTGGAACTAGAACTTTTTCATCAGTATTAAGGAATTATTGATTGAAAAAAGCTCTTACATCTCACTGAAAAGTTACTTTGAAGCTATTTTTTGTCTTACTTTAAGTTTGCTAAGATATTCGTACTTAAAACTAGATCAAATTACGTAGCAAAATTTTAGTTTAATAGACAAATTCTTAAGGCGAGTTATTGCTGCATTTAGTTACAATAGTAAACTGAATGATTTGAATAAGACTGACTTAAATTTGTCAAGTGAACCCAAATTAGATTAAGTTGGGTAAACTTTATTGTTACCAATTGAAGCAATTCAATTGAGTTGGCCCAACTAGTTTCTTTTTTCAGTGTAAGTAACTCATTGCGGCGCCACTTCTGCAACCAGTCTATTTCTGAACACATAATGTAACGTTTTATGACTTTTATTGTAAGATTTCGATGTAACATTCATGAACAGCCATTTTGTTTCACCAATCTTAATTAATGGTGCAACTAGAACTTTGATCTCTTGCTTTTATACAGTTGTGAGCACTTTTAATGGCCCAGTGCAGCTAACCGTGCAATGAAAAATAAATTTGTCTAACTCTGTGTTCTCTGAAGAGTTATCTGGAAAGCTCCGTGGGTCAGAGCAGGATGGCGATTGTGTCAACTCTTTATGCCGCAGGACGCGCTCACCTCCACGGAGGCAGCAGATAACACCGGGCTGGGGCACACGCACGTTACACACACACGCACGCACGCACTCACACACACACACACACACACACACACACACACACACACACACACACACACACACACACACACACACACAACACGCACGCACTCACACACACACACACACACACACACATACACACACGCATGCACGCACACACACGCACGTTACACATACACACACACGCACGCACGCACAGCCTCTCCTGCATCTCTCAGGCATGGTGTCAAATCCTTCTGCGGACTAACCACCACCAGGAAATGCTGTTTGGTGTCGCTGTCAGGACTCATGCGCAGTCAAAAAGTGTGACTTTTGACTGAGCAAAGCCAAAAGTCTTTGACTCCAAAAAGTCAAAGGGTCAAAGAGCCTCAGACTTTTAGACTGATGGGTGGATTTTAAGTAATCTGTAATAGCTGCCTGATTGAGCTTTGCCTTACGTCTCGAAATCGTTGCAGTTTTATTCATTCTACTCAATCTTAAGTCCAGAGCACACTAGTATTTTTGTTGTTGCTTTTGCCACCACTAAATGATCAATATATAGAAATCTGATTGTCTTTGCTGGTGCAAAAGAGTATTACAGCTACTGTGGAGAAAAACAAAATATATTTTAGAATTCTAAGAAAAGCATCAGAGTTTCACAGCCTTTTATCAATAATTTTATTTATAAGCGCACTTCCAAGCGAGGCCAGCAGATGGCAGTACTTTAGGACTGGTTGCTTATCAACTCCGATAGGAAAAGAATGTTTTTCCAGTGGTATCATCACATTAGCAGTGATGTCATAACTCTATGACGCCACAAAGGAATCTCTCTCTTGAATGTAGCTCACAGAGAGAATTTTGTCAGACCTGTTCCACAGTTCTACTGCAGCAGATCACTCTTCACAGCACGTTCTAAAGTCATTGAAACAAGCGGGATATCTATTGTAGATATTGCACACCTTTCATCGACATGAAGCAACAACAGATTGCATGTAACCATGAAGCTTTTCCAGCCAAGCTTTCATGGGTCGACATAATGGACCTTAATGTTCAAGTTGACTACGACGCTGTCGTTTTCCCTTTTGAGGAAGACAGCGACAGCCCCATTGAGCCGGAAGATGTACCATCAGAGATCCAGGGGGAATCAAGTCCTTCCGGCCACTTTGAGAATCCAACATCTTCAGAAGTCGAGCAGAAAACAACTCGGTCTGCTGGCTTCGAGATCACCCCCTCAGTGGAAGTCGTGGACAAGACAAGCCGACACGTCACTGATCTGACAAAGCAGGTTGACGATCTTAAAAAGGAGTTACAGAGTAAGACCTTCGACCTCCAAGAAGAACGAGACCGAAGGATTGCATGTGAGGCTGAAGTGAAATCACAGCAGCAGGAGATTCAAAGACTGCAGAGCATGTTAGAAAAAGAACGTCACCAGCAAGTCAAACGAATCATGACAGAAACGTGCCAGAAACTCAAGTGGTTTCCAAAGTTACAGCTGATAAGACCTTCTTCAACAACTGGATTACTTCAAGAGGGAGGCTGTAAAACACGCCTCCCATAACAAAGGACTGATAGAAGTAATGGTTGAAGAATATAGGGTGAGACTGAAATATGAGGAGCAGCTCAAGAGACACGATGAGCAAGCTGCTAAATTTGTAGAACAGGAGGAAACAGTAAAATCGCTGCAGGGTCAGGTTGCAGACCTGCAGCTGAAGTTAAAACTTGCTATGGAAAACAATCATCCAAGAGTCTCCACCCAACCAGAGACACCCCTGCAACTGGAGGAGTCCAAGGAAAGAGAGACCTTGAATCATCCAGGGGTCTCCATCCATAGCCTGGCTCAGCCTTTGCACCGACCCACCAGGTTGCAAAGAGAGGAGTCCACGCAAAGCCAGACCTCCACACAAACATGGAGGCCCGAGGAAAAACAGACGGCCAGGCAACCAACCTCCACAGGTTGCATGGAGGGCCTTCATGGCATTGGCAGGAAGGGTAAGCTATGCCCGGCTCGGCCTTTACGCCGACCCACACCCGGCTGGAACTAACCTGGGTCACTATCCAAACCCAGGTTTGGATAAAACTCTGCAGTAATTAATTGATTCATTGGTCTCTCTAAATTGTCTTAAGGTGTGAATGTGTGTGTGCAAGGATAAGTGTGTTAGATGATGGATGAATGAATATTTGTTAAAAGTGTCTGACAGTAGAATATGATCCAAAGAATCTGTGAAAAGTTCTCTGGCTCTGCTACTGTCCAGAAACAACCAATCAGAACCAAAAGATAAACTTTTGGTTCTGATTGGTTTCTAATGTGTTGAATGTGTATCAGCACATTCAACACATTAGACTATTAGTCTACTGCAGCTATGCAATTGGCAGAAATACAACCTAACATATCATCACTGATTATTTATAGAATAATTTATAAAACAGGTTTGTCAAAACTATTTCAACCCATATTAGAACTTTGAATTGATTTCCCTTCATTTTAGTAGCTGCAATTTTGCCCAACCCACACATTTTCCCTAACCCTAACCAATACTAGTCTATTCCTAACCCTAACATGAACTAAAATTTAATTTGGATCTTACCTCTAAACGTTACCCCTGACCCAAATCAATG